CCTTTATTAAATACAAAAATTGGAATTAAACAACATCCAAAAGGGAAGTTTGCAAGGGACTCATCCATTATCTGTGCTCTCAGGAGCTCCGTGAATTCGCTCATTGTTCCGAAATGAGAGAAACAATCAGGAGGAGTCAATGCATTGAGCCTCCTGGTGGTCAGAGTGAGACATGACCTCTGTGTGATGGCAGCGCTGGGCAGGGTCTCATCAGGAAACACACACGTGTCTCGCTGTACATTATAAGGCAGGACTTTCCGTGTGGGCTGGTGTCATCCCAGAGCTGCTGGCAAAAGCTCGTGGCACATTTTAAATGCAAAACTTGGCCGTGCAAAATTGCGTCTGATTTGCAGTGTGGTCAAACCAAGTGCTCTGTAACGCTCTGGTGTTACGTGGGCGCGGTACGGCAGGTGGAAAATGAAGCACATACATAGCCACTGCAGACGTTTGAGACGGTTCATCAGAGTCTTTCCTGCACCACAAATTAACACTGAACAGTTTATAAACCTTATAAATGTTTAATAGAAGGTCATTATTTCTTGGTGGCAGCTTTGTTTTAAGTAATCTAAGCACAAACATCTCCTTACGAGCTCCTTACACATTGATGATTGGCTGCTTGTTCTGCGGTTTGAGTAGTGACGGTTGAGATCAGAGAGTCTTTTTAGGTTTAAACCAACTGGATTCAAAGTATTGAAACTGGCAACCCAAATCATAACCTAAAGAAATAAAGCATCAGGTCCATTGTTTTGTAATTAAGAATAAAAGCTATGGTACGGATCTATGTTATACTGTTGTTTCCTCATCAGAAACATATTTGCGTTATTTAAATCCTGCATTCTTCTCTCAAACAGAAAACACTTTGTGATGTCATGTGGTAATTAAGGATGTTACAAGATCTCGTACCATAAGATCTCGTGAGACAAAATTGCCATAAGATTGTCCGCACATGCAATATCGTCAAGTGGATTGGACAAAAAAGGCTTAAGTATTGGTGAGTTACATCTTTTACAGATCCAAACCAAGAATGGAAACAAAAATATGAAATCAAAGAAACTAAAAATCGTGAGGCCAAAATTAGAAAGTGAATCGTGAAATGTATATACAGTATTAGGAATTGTGTTAAAATCTCGTTTTATCTCGTGCTTATGGACCCACTCTCTTATCTCTTGTCCATAGTGGTAATACAAAAACTGCCTACTTGTGTTTTTAAACTCCATTCACCTTCACTAGACTCATTTGGATAATTTCAGACCTGGAATTGCCAGTCTCTGCTGAACTAAAGGTAAATGTAGCTGTTAACTGGAAAACTACTGACATCACAAGGTGGAACAGATCATTTTGAGCTTTGGAGATGTACAGATTAATAATAAAGAGTTACTCAAACATGTGTGAATGAAATAAAACACCACTCCATGTCTGTTTTTGAGGAGGCAACAGTTTTATAACATGAAGCTACAAGAGTCACTATTATGTAATATAGGACCTTTATCTTCTAATACAAGTTCATTAGGATTTTACATTTTGTTAACTGGAAAACATAATATTGATCTAAGACAGCTTAACAGAGCGGGATCCTTTGACTTTTCTTTTTTAACGGCAGAACTAACAGCCCCGTGCCATTTCTGAACCATGTATGTAATACCAAGAGTCTAAATGTTTTGAATAATCACAAGTAGGTTCAGAGAAGTGGGCGGGGACAGGGGGTAAGGAGCACTCAAGTCTCAAGTGCAGCTCAATACAGGATTAGTCAAACATATAGAAATCCATTTAAGTACAGTTGTGTGTGAGTTAAAGGTGCACTGTGCCATAGAGATGTTGTTGCTTTGCCTGGAATTTTTCACAGTACAGTATTAAACTTTTCTATTTCCACGGAGACGAGCACCATGCCAGTTTACAGGTCCGATTTGTGGAGCGGTGGGTCACAGAGTAGAATGCATGTTATTGAGTATTGTTTTATTGTAGATTTCACCTATAATTAAATAATAAGCAAGTAAAATGTCATACTGTGGTACATTTAGGGACAGCAAATATATTAATATCTCTCATATCTCCATGGACACAACCAGGTGACAGACCAGAAAGGTTACATAGTGCACCTTTAATGATGAGAGAACAATACATGACCAAACTTCAAGTACGTGACCAGCTTTTTAACGACAGAGTAATGCTGTGACATGAAAGGATAAATAAAAGCACTTTACTTTTAGGTTACAACTTTTTGGAATGGTAATTAATTAAAGGTCCTAAATTACAGAAAATTGTCTCTTGTAGCTTTAAGCCATGTTATAATCTTGTTAAATCAAAAACAGACCTGGAGTTGTGTCTGTCTACATCGCCAAAACTCAAAACGCTTTGTTCCCCCTTGTGATGTCACATAGTGGTAGTTAACAGCTGCAACTTTTACCTTTTGTTCAGTAGAGATTGGCAATTCCAGGGCTGAAATGATCCATATCATTCTAGTGAAGGTGCATGGAGTTTAAAAACACAGTGGAGCTTTTCCTGTATTACCACATGACATCAAAAATTGGACCAAAGTGTTTAAATTTGAGAGAAGAACTCAGACTAAATGTGCAGGTTTTGTGAGTTAACACTACAGTATGGCATTAAACCTTTCTATCTTCATGGAGACCAAACCAGACCAAGTTACAGGTCAGATCTGTGGAGAGTCAACCCCGCTCACACTCAGAATACTTGTTTTTCTAGCTATTTTTGAGCAGTAAAACCACCTGTAATTGAATAAATGTAAGGTAGAGCTGTTTAATGTCACACTGTGGAACATTCCTGGCAGAGCAATGACGTATCCATAGAAACAAGCAGGTGACCGACCCCCAAACCAAAAAGTTATGTACTGCACCTTTAACCAGTGGTGTAAGGTAAGGCAGTAACGTTAGTAAAGTACTGTACATAAATAAAAAATACCAGGTATCTGTACTTTACTTAAGTACATTTTACCATGGATACTTTTTACTTTGACTTCACTACATTTGAGAGCAGGTATCCGTACTTTCTTCTCCACTACATTTTTTAACTGGACTGAAAAGTAAAAGTATATATTTATATTTTATGATAGTTTAACCCTGCTGACACATTTCTAATTTGAGCAAAGACAAATATACAAACAAAAACAGGTAGGAAATAAATATTGATTCACTTGTTTCTGTTGAACAAAGTCAGTATTGGCTTTGCTCAACAAAGCTCGTTAAGCTTTGGTTTTATAGTTTTATTAGATCTCAAAAGCTTTGTGAGATACTTTTACTTTTTACTCTTTAAGTACATTTTTAAACATGCACTTTAAAACTTTTCCTTGAGTAAATTTTTCATGTGATACTTTAGTTTTACGTGAGTATTTTTTATTTTATTTTTTTGCTGCTGTAACAAAACCACTTTGTACTTTGTCCCCCGGTGCCTTTAACTTAATTCAGCTGAAGCAGGATAATGTAGTTTCTTCAGTTATCAGCCATCTTGTTTTTTGTGATGCTTCTTACACAATGTGGAGACATGAACCAGATCCCCACAGTGGGACAGACAAGATCATTTAGACACACAGTCAAGAGAAGTGCACGTTATAACAGAAACAGCCCACACAAAACAGACTCCATAGGGAAAAAAAAACACACACACACACACACACCTAACTGGAAACCGAGCTGGGATCCTGACACTGTGAGGTAGTGAAGTCAAGTAACTAGTGTGATGAGACAGCCCTATTTACTGGGGACAGTCCCAATTTTGAGCCCTGAGTCCCCTGTTCCAGCAGATTTATAAAAAAACTGTGATTTGTCCTAGTTTTATACAAGTAATGTCCCAGGTGTCTCTATTTTTGACCAATTTGATCCCTGCCAACAGTAAAGAGAGGCATAAATTGTCATCTGTTTAGGTAAAATACAGAAAAGCTGCTTACAAATATTATTAAATGCCCTTTATTGCACAAAATGGATTAGACTTAGACTTAGACAAGCTTTATTGATCCACAAGGGAAATTATTTGGACACAGTAGCTCACACATCACAATATAATATAATAACAAAGAATAAAAAAAATATATAAATGAGTAGCAAAAATAGCAAGAGACTGGTGTCAAATAAGGCATTATATAAATGTATATGCACAAGTTAAAATAAAATAAAATACAGAAATAAAGTAATAAAAATATAAAGGTGCACTGTGTAACTTTTATGGAGGGGGTCTGCAACCTGTTTGTTTCCATGGAGATATTAATGCTTTGGTTTAAATTGTCCACAGTATGGCATTAAACCGATCTGTCTTGCATTTATTCAACTACAGGTGTTTTTATAGCTCAAAAATATCTTAAAAATACATGAATTCTTACTGTGAGTGGGGTCGCCTCTCTACAAATCTAACCTGTAATTTGGCCTGGAATTCTCCATGGAGATTCTTAAGTTTATGGCCATACAGTGGAACATTCTAGGCATATCTCCATGGAAACAAGCAGGTTACACAGTGTTGTTACCTCCTCAAAAACATTCCTGGAGTTGTGTTTTGTTTAATTCACACATGTTTGAGTAATCCTTTATTATTAGTCTGTCTACTCCTCCAAAGCTCAAAATGCTCTGTTCCACCTTGTGATGTCACATAGTGGTTGTTTTCAAGTTAACAGGAACCTTTTACCTTTTGTTTAGTAGAGACTGGCAATTCCAGGTCTGAAATTATCCAAATGATTCTAGTGAAGTTGTGTGGGGTTTAAAAACACAGTGGAGCACTTTCTGTATCACCACATGACATCACAAGGTGGAACAGAGTAAATAAATAAATATGCAGAGTTTGTGTGTTAAACATGTGTGAATGAGACAAAACACAGGTCTGTTTGTGATGAATACTCCTTAATGTCTGAGCTGGTTAAGTCCTGGTTAAGTCCTGGTTAAGTCCTGGTTAAGTCCTGGTTAAGTCCTGGTTAAGTCCTGGTTTAGTTTTGGTTTAGTTCTGTCTGTATTAATTTTTTTTTTTTGAATTTTTCTTTTTTGAATCTGTGCTCTGTTCAGACTTTTGCCTCATTGACTCTCCTCTGTGCCTCGATGAAAACTCCAGACTGAGCTTTGAGGCCATCTGCTCCATCCACAGAATGATGGACGACGATGCCGATGGGAACGTGGACAGCAGCGAGACTGACGAGGTGAGAATAACCTGATTATCACACAACTGCCCATGTGACACTGTTTTTTATATGCTATAATGTAGTTTCCTCATCACAGACAGACTTGGAGTTGTGTTTTGTTTCATTCACACATGTTTAAAACATAAACCCTGAATATTAAGGCTGAGTTCTTCTTTCAAACTGAAAAAAGAGTTACTCAAACATGTGTGAATGAAACAAAACACAACTCCAGGTTTGTTTTTGAGGAGATGGCAATGACTTTAAGATGACAACATTTTGGGGTCATTCCACGCCATTTCAACAAATGGCCCAAGCACTTCGATCTCAAAAAAATTTGAAAAAATTACCAAAGAGTCCCTTACTATCATGTACCAATCCTGTGAAGTTTTAGTGATTTTCGATCATTGCTTTTTAGTTACAACTCATTTTATGAGGGGAGTATGTGTCAATTTACGGGCCAAAAATGCACGTCATTTTTTTCTCAGCCATTTTCACAGGTTGATATCTCTGTAAGTACCACACATACAGGGCTGAAATTTTGTAGGCTTGTAGTCCTCTACTCTGTGTTCAAATAACATGTATGGAAAGTTTGGTATCTCATCTCATTGTCATTTTATATGAACTTAAAAATGAAAAAGCATACCATTTTTACCCCCTTTTACACCTACTTTTAGGTGTCAGAGACCCTTCAATTTTTTTTTGAGAATCAAGATATGTAGTAGGATTGTTAAAAGAAATCACCAAAAATTTGAAATAGGTTATGTGTGAGGGTCCTGTTAAAATCAAGAAAACGTAACAGAGTCCGATTTTCACATGTAATTTCTGGCATGTGGGTAGTAATAAAAAAAAAATTTGCATAATTTTTTACTGAAAGACCAGAAAAAGACCTTTCATATGGTACCAAACATATGTATTTTATGAAGCTCCTTCAATTTTTTAATTGTATCTTGAACATTCACATTTGTCACGATGACACGAGTATACAGTGACCATGTACTATGTTTTATTCCAGCAGCTAAGGTCACTAAACATTTAAAGACTGAATCAAATGGTTTGATAATAATTTTAATGTGACAAGGTGACAAGTTATCTGACATCCTAGAAAACAGCTGTAAATTATTCTCATATTAAAGAAACAATTAAGTCATTTTCAAGGATATGATATTGTCTTCTCTTAGTTGTGGACGGCACATTGATGTTCAAGACTATGCAAAATGTTACAATAGATTTAGGTGTGCAAGGAACTCAAACATCCGGAAGCAGCCAAGAAGTGAGGAAACGGTTCCCTATCATGTTCGGATCGCCTGAGCAGGTAAAGAAAGTCTTATGGAGCCTTAAATGGAAAGTGCTAAGGTTGCCCATTTAAGGGAAATTTCAGGATTTGAGGGAATTTATCGCATATTAAAAAGTCATATTTATCTTTATTCCAGGGTGAACCTATATAGTTCCAAATGCACATTTTGTTTGTTTTATTTTATTTTATTTTTTTGTTTAAGAAGAGCCTGTACATTTTTGGACAAGAGCCTACTCCAAAGAAATTAATGATGTGCACAGATGACAAAGCGCCTGATTCAAGTAACAAGGCCACACCCCAGACAACATGGTCAACTCAACCATCTAAAACCAGTTCACCAGGGATGAAAAAGCCTCCACAGTTTGAGGAGAATTCTGGTGGTCAAGCTTGTGGGGACTGTGCATGCTGCCGTGACCTCGGCCAGAAAATCCAAGAGCTTCGGAACCGACTGCGGGTTTATGAAGATGTGCCTACTGATACTGATGACGAATAAGACATACATGTTCTGTGTTCTGGGTTTTTAGATAACTTGTAACACATCCTGTTGATTTATTCTTGTTCATTCTTCATGTTTGGGAGCTTTAGCTGCTGGAATAAAACATAGTACATGGTCACTGTATACTCGTGTCATTGTGTCAAATGTGAATGTTCAAGATACAATTAAAATTTTAAGGAGCTTCATAAAATACATATGTTTGGTACCATATGAAAGGTCTTTTTCTGGTCTTTCAAGAAAAAAATGATTCAAATTTTATTTATTTTTTATCACTACCCACATGCCAGAAATTACATGTGAAAATCGGACCATGTTAAGTTTTCTTGTTTTTAATAGGATCCTCACACATAACCTATTTCAAATGTTCCAACATTTGGTGATTTCTTTTAACAGTCCTAGTACTTATCTTGATTCTCAAAAAAAAAAAAAATAAGGGTCTCCTACACCTACAAGTAGGTTTAAAAAGGGGCTAAAAATGGTACCGTACGGAAGTTTTTTTTTTTCAGTTCATATAAAATGACAATGAGATGAGATACCAAACTTTCGAAAGATCTGATCTGAACACAGAGTAGAGGAGTACAGGCCTACAAAATTTCAGCCCTCTGTGTGATACTTACGGAGATACCGACCTGTGAAAGTGGCTGAGAAAAAATTGCGTGCATTTTGGGCCTGTAAATTGACACATAACCTCCTCATAAAATGAGCTGTAACTTGAAAAGAATTAATTGAAAATGACAAAAATTTCACAGGGTTGGTACATGATGGTAAGGAGCTGCTAATTGTTTCATTTTTTTTTTTTTTTATCATGATGCGTGAGATTTTCTGGAAATTTGATGAAATGGCGTGGCATGACCCTTTGTGTAATACAATGAATGTAAGGATGCCATTTACTTAAATAAATAAATAAATACTGACATGTTGAGGTGGGCAATTAATCACATTAATCTGAATAATTCTGTTTTTTAATGATCAAGATTTGGAAAAATTGCTAAATTGTCAAATTGAGGATTATTATGAAACAAGTTCACTCCTGACTTTCTTACTTGCAAAGCAGGTATGTGCAAAAAACTCGAGATTTGTGGCTCTGGTTTTAAAGCTGCTCCTCTGTGTCCCCAGTTTTTACGCGAGGACCTAAAGTTTTCAGACTCCAAAACCAAACGACGAAATTTTCACCAAGCCGACCTCCACATCAGCATCGAAGACATGTGGACCACCTGGAAACACTCTGAGGGTTAGTCCAGGGCTAGGACTGGGTTAGACCTGGTTTATGTTTGGTTTAGTCTTGGTTTAGTCATAGTTAAAATCTGGTCAACTCTTGGATTAGATTTGGTGTAGCCCTGGTGTAGTACTGGTTTCGACCTGCTTTAAATATGCTTTAGTCCTGGTTTAGTCCTGGCTTAATTCTGATTTAGACTTGATTTTAGTATGCTTTAGTTCTTGTTTTACTCTTGGTTTAGTCATTGTTAAATCCTGATTTAGTTATGGTTTAGATCTGATTTAGATCTGATTTAGACCTGGTTTATATTTGGTTTTGTCCTGGTTTAGTCAGAATTAAAATCCGGTTTAGTCCTAGATTAGTCACTGTTAAATCCTGGTTCTAGTTTGGTTCTGGACCTAGTTTAGTACTGGTTTAGTACTGGTTTAGCCTTGATTTAGTCATGGTTTCAATCTGGTTTAGACCTAGTTTTGTCCTGGTTTGGACCTAGTTTGGACCTGGTTTACACCTGGTTTAGACCTGGTTTAGGGCTGGTTCAGTCCTGGTTTCCTGGTTTATGCCTGGTTTAGGGCTGGTTCAGTCATAGTTAAGTCCTGGTTTGGACCTGGTTTGGACCTGGTTTGGACCTGGTTTGGACCTGGTTTAGACCTGGTTTAGACTTTTCGATCTGGTTTAGCCCTATTTCACACCGATTCAGTCCCCATTTTTAGTTTAGTTGAGATTATCTGTTGTTTTGTGCGTTAAAACGGTAATTATTGTCATGTTTATATTTTTCTTGGTTATCAGTGCCTCTTAAACCTCGGCAGTCCAGCTCTCAGCAGTGCAGGGAAAATGGTCCAGTCTAAATAAACATATCATGGTTATAAATAGGAACTCATCTGGGTTTATTTAAGAGACTCATAATTTGTTATATTTTTGTAAATGTCAAGACACAAAAATGGAAAGAGGAAGAGAGTGAAAAGAATTTGTAATCAAACAGGACGACACAGGATTGGATAGGGCTGTTGAGTCAAGTCAGTTTTAAAAGGCCCAGATTACGCTACTTTCGGATCTATAGTTTGTGTTTGTTGTTTCCTCATCTTAAACAGACCTGGAGTTGTGTTTTGTTTCATTCACACATGTTTAACACACAAACCCACATATTTACGATGAGTTCTTCTGTGTTTTTAAACTCCACTCACCTTCACTAGAACCATTCGGATCATTTCATTCCTGGAATTGCCGATCTCTGCTGAACTAAAGATAAAAAAAATTGTTAACCATAGACTGTACAAAAGAAAACAGGACATCAGGGTCTTTGAAGGTCTACTGACACAATTAAATGCTGAACTCGCCATGACGGACTGTAAATGAACTTCTATCGCTATATTTAAAGACTAATAGAACAAATTAAAAAGTACAACAACAAACAACAAAAAAGTTGTTTAACAAGTTAAAGTTGTTTGATGCATGGTTTGACTTGAATTATCATCCAATACAGTTAAATCCAGAGACAAACTGTCAGGATCCAGTGATAGTTTTATTAAATACCATGAGTCACTTGTTAAAGCCGTGGATCTGTTTAAATTTCAGAAAAGTCGCGCAGCCATTGGATAAATGTAAGCCCTGGGGTTGCAAAATGGCCGCCCATTCAAGTCAATGGGCCGAGCTCAATGGCACATAATTCCAGATTCACCTTTAGCCTGGCGAGGTACTTCCGGTGGCTGTGGGCCGACTGAGCATGCGCAGTTGTGCTCTTTTCTCCCGCAGGCGCATGCAAGCTCACACATGGAGCGGTGGTCTCGTGATTGCTTTGACCAATCGGAGTGAGAGGAGCTAGAGCAGAGCGGAGCCAGAGCTTATGATTATAAAACGTTTTTTAAGACAACTGAAGGATTATGAGCTGAGAAAAAGTTGATGATATAAAATTAGGTAAAAATCGCCAACAAATCCGACATGTTTGAAAGTTGTAGGCGCCCTGTCAGCCGAACACGAGCAGTTTGTGATTACATTGTGCTTTATGAGAAAAATTCTCTCTTAGTCCATGGGATTTTTTCCTCTGAAGTTCCAGTGAGTGACCACTACGTCAACTGGAGGCAGCTAACGCACGAGCTGTCAATCAAACCTGTTGCTAACGCTAGTGGGAGCAACCTCGGGGAGTGAAGGCATCTGATTGGTCCGTTATTTATGTTAATATCTTGATTTAGGAACAAAATAGCGAAATGAAAAATTCAGAATCATGTAGAGCAGGTTAATACGAACATTTACAACTAAAATGACGAGGCTCACTGTAGCACTTAGACAGAGAGGGATGACAAGATCCCAATGTAAAGTCAATAGGAGCCAGGGTCAGAAGGAGCCGGAAGAGCCTCCTGACAAACTTCCTGTCCATTCATTATATACAGTCTATGTTGTTAACTTGAAAACTGCTGCTTCATGACTGCTTTAAGTGGAACAGAGCATTTTGAGCGTTGGAGATGTAGACGGACTAATAATAAAGGATTACTCAAACACAAAAAAGTATGAAAAAACCAAACAAACAAAAACACAACTCCATGTATGTTTTTGGAGAGGTAACAACATTATAACATGCCTTAAAGTTCACAGGAGTAAATTTTGCGTAATGTAGGACCTTTAAGACTAGTATCAAAACTGTATACTCATATGAACTTGAGTCCATAATCTTTTTGACAAATTTTAAAATGATTCTGTTTAAACTTTGGGACATTCTCCATGGAGATAGATAAGTTTCATGAATATTATCACCAAGGGAGCAACATGTCCAAGGAGATAAGAGTTTTAGCAGGAAGAGTCTCTCACAGGGCGCATGGATTTCAGCTCAATAAACACAACCAAAATGGGGGAAAAAAAACAAATCATGCTTTTATTTTATTGACATTTGTGGCTAAAAGTTACATAATGTGGCTTTAATGAGTCCTTGGGTAGACTTTGTTAAGTTAGACTTGGTTAGTTCTGGTTGAGCCCCAGTTGACTCCTGGTTTAGTTTCTATATAGTCCTGGTTAAGTCTTGGTCCTGGTTCAGTCCTGGTTCAGCCCTGTTATAGTCCTGATTGAGTCCTGGTTGACTCTGGTTCAGTCCCAGTTCAGTTCTGGTTCAGTCCTGGTTCAGTTCAGTTTCAGCCTTGGTTTAGTCCTGGTTTATTCCTTGTTCTGCCCTCGTTTAGTCCTGGTTTTGCCCTTGTTTAGTCCTGGTTTAGTCTTGGTTTAGTCCTGGTTCAGTCCTGATTTAGCCCTGGTTCAGTCCTGGTTTAGTCCTGGTTTAGATCTGGTTTAGTCCTGTTACCTCCACCAAGGAGGTTATGTTTTTGCCGGTGTTTGTCTGTCTGTTTGTTTGTTTGTCTGTTAGCAACATAACTCAAAAAGTTATGGACTGATTTTGATAAAATTTTCAGGATTTGTTGGAAATGTGAAAAGGAAGAACTGATTTCATTTTGAGGGTGATCCGGAAGAAATCCTGGATTCTGGATCACTTTTAATTTTTAGTTTAACAATGTGGTAAATGGGGCCAAAAATTTTGTTTCTCAATATCTTGGTTAATTATTGACGAAACCCCATGAAATTTGACTCAGGGATGGACAATGGGATCATCTTTCATATTTCAAAGGCTGATCTGGATCTGATCCAGAAGACTGATTTTATCGCAATTTATATAAAAAATGGGGGTAGTCCTTGGCGGAGGTCTGCGCTCTCTGAGTGCTTTTCTAGTTTAGTTCTTGTTTAGTCCTTGTTTAGTCCTTGTTCTGCCCTCGTTTAGTCCTGGTTTAGTCAGTCCTTGTTCTCCTGTTTAGTCCTGTTGTAGTGTATAACTGGACGCTGGTGCAGGTGGAGCAGTGGTTGTGTCTTAGTGTGGAGTTGCCTCAGTATTCAGCCTCCTTCAGAAACCTGCAACTCAACGGCACCGCCCTCCCCAGGTACAACCCCTGTCTGCTCTCCTGTCTGCTCCTGTCTGCTCTTGTCTGCTCCTGTCTGCCTCTGTCTCATTTTGAACCTTCTTTCTTCAGGTTGGCGGTGAAAAACTCGACTCTCACTGGATCCCTGTTGAAGATCTCAGAGCGAAGCCACGCGCAGAAACTTCAGCTCAAAGCCCTGGACACGGTTCTGTTCGGTCCTCCCCCAGGTCTGAGGCAAACACTTTTACACATTTTACACTTCTGAAATGACAATAATACCAGGGTAAGAAAAAACTCAGTGACATATAGTCATATTTCATTGCACAGTTCTCAAATCTATTCTTTTTATTTTAAATTTTTTGTGACATTAGAGATGGTACAAACAGTAAATTTCATTTTGACTTGATGGGATCGGGAGGGCATATATTAAGGTTTAAAGGGGGCGATGGGACAATAAGGGGCTTCTGTTGTTCCAATACCATTTTTTGGGATCCAATCCGATACCGATGCTTGACCTTGGTGCATTCGACTATACCAATATCAGTATTATACCACATAGTGTGAAGAAGTAAACTACTAAAGGCTACTAAATTTTTTTACAGTACAAGAGCAATAAATAAAACTACTAAAAGGCTCAAATTGCTTAAGAAAAGCTATTGAATAAAGCAGTTTTTGAGTAGCCAGGCTGGCACCACTTAGTGCCTCTGCTCAATTTTATTTCTCTTCAGCGACTAAGTCAGGAATCAGAATGCACTAGACAGTTTGCAAGAATCCCGGAAGTGCAAGTTTTGTGCTGGCAACGATTCCCGAGATCGAGGATTTAAAGCTGCTTCAAAGAAAATGTTTGGTGAACTTTATCAATGGGAAAGCCATTATTGAATCAAGCTAGTTTTTGAGAACTAAGTGAGTCAAATATATAATGATCTTGACCTTAAGTAATGCTGATTTAAACACTTAAACTTTTCGAATTCGTTACTTTCTACCACAGTTTGGCTAAAAACAACAGTGAGACCTGTAAAACTAAAAAGACCCTCATCCTCAGAGTACCTGGCTATTTATACAGAGTAAACAAAGTCTGAGTTAATGCTGTTGCAGCTTCGTCGCACAGTTCAGCATTCACACTAAAGGTATCAAAGAGGAAACACAAATGTCTTTTCTGTTATTATCAGCGTGTTTTAAGAGTCTGCAGGGCCTCCACAGTCTGTTTAACCTGCTCTGGGCATTAGCCACAGATGTAAACAGCAGCGCTCGCATCTACAGGTCCTCTTGTGGAAAGTACATAGTGGTATCGTAACAACACTACTTCTGTTCTTCTTATACAGGAGAGCAAGTGTGAATGTGTGTGTGTGTGAGTAGATAAATAATAAAACAGAAGAGATGTAAGAGGGTTAGGGTGGGAAGGAAAACAAAACAAAAAAAAAAATAAGAAAAAGGAAAAAATTATTATGGTAACTGGTCACATTTTTATATAGCGCTTTTCTACCTTCAAGACACAATGACTGCATTCATCTGTGGGAGCTAAAATCGCACAGCTCAACCAATGATGTTTATGTGGAGAGCGCGATTCGCACCACCAACCTTTGGATCAGTGGACAAACACTCTTTAACAGCCTGCTACTGCCGCCCTAATAATTGATGATTGATGATTGAATTGAATGATTTTCTCCCTTTCTTTTCTTCCTTCTCGAATCTATTCAAAATGCATCAGAATTGATTCTTTAAAATAATGTTTAACAAAAAATCATTAGTTATGATTTAGAAAAATGTAATATATAGACTATATTTCCTACAATTTTGTTCTCTTGAAGTTGTAGTTGACTGTATTATTTATTAAAAGTAATTATTGATAAATCGTAATATATCGTCCACTGTTTTAGTATTGGGAAATATCGGGGAAAAATCAAACCTTGATATGCGTATCATGATAAGTATTGTATGCTCAGACTCAAGGCAATGCACACCCGTAATACCAGCATCTTGTCCAATAATATAGACTCCATCTACCTTATTTTGGAAGTTGGAGTGAGCGCCACTGTCATGATTGGGGTTTTATTATTTTGTGTGGGGCTGCCGATCCTGTCAGTAAATCAGTCAGTGTTTCCCGCAGCGTTTTATAGTTAGGGTGGCCGCCTTGAGAACAATTGCCCCCGCCCACCGAAATACTTGAATCTTTGCAAAACTACGGTTGTCGCGCCTTTCACTGAAAAAGCAGCTTTGAAGTTCAGTACGGACTACAAAGCTGCTTTAAACCCCCAGAGAATCAGTGCAGTGCTTTCTTGTTGGTCACATGAACACTGAACATTTTACACAAATGATCTGACTTTATGTCATATTGAAGATGCAAAATGTTTTCCAAATTCATGAGTGGGGATCCCTGTTTAACCAGTAGTGCCACCACAAAAAAGTGCAATTTAGGAGTGTTTAGAGACAAAAGTGGGCAAGGCAGACTCCACCGACTCCAATTCAAGGTGCACTGTGTAACTTTTCTGGTGAACGGTCTGCCAACCAACGGCTTTTTTCCATGGAGATGTCTTGGTTTTGCTTTGAGTGTTCCACAGCACGGCATTAAACGTTTCCATTTCCAAAGAAACAAGCAGTGACACCACAAAACCAAATTACAGGTCAAATCTGTGGAGAGGCGACTACACTGACAACGAGAATGCGTATTTTTAAGGTATTTTTGAGTAAGAAAAATACTTGTAATTTTCTTTCTACGTAAAATAGATGCATTTTATGCTGCGCTGTTATACTGTGGAACATTCCAGACAAAGCAGTAACATCTCCTCATTTTGGTCTTAGAGGGAGTTAATATGAATATTCTATGTGATCCTGATGTTTTTATTTCGCTTTTTTGTCTGTAAATAAATTTGAAATAAGGGCTGTTTTTGCACAGTTAAATCCTGGCCTAGACCCACATTTTCACTTTAATTTGGGAAAACTTGGAGTATATGATTTATGTCTTTTATCTTTGGGTGATAATATGTTAGATTTTCCTGCTTCTAATTCTTTATTTAGTCTTAATTTGCACTGGTTTTAGTCAAAGGATTCACGTCATCTCATATTCAGAAGATATTTGCTGGATCAGGTCTCAGTTCAATTTATTTTCTGGCTGGGCCTTTAAATTAATGCAACAGAAAAATCCTGGCAGTTGTTAGCGCAGAACATCTGATAATTTAAGTTTTATTCATACAAAGCTGTTCTGTTAATACTTGAAGGATAAACAACAGTTACATAACACATCTGGATCAGTTTTAGTTATACTTTGCCAATACACAATGTCAACCAGCGCAGTGGAAACAGGATTTATTTTCTTAAATTACAGATACTTAAAGCCTTAAAGCAGACCTATTCGGCAAAATGAATTTTTCAGAGCTTTTTAACTGTCTTATAGTTATATTCCTTCACATGTATTTTATCGAAGTTGTTTTGGGACTGATTTGTGCATGTTTGAGTAATATTTATTCTCTTATTTTCAAGACACCATTGTTTTCACCGACACTAGTACACGCCCACTGCTCTGTACTTACTCCATTCTCCAATTATAATTTCTAATCAGTTAATCATGTAGTCATTTTGATATAAATGTAAAAGAAAAAAGCTCCAGTGTGATGTGGCGACAGTGGCTCAGTTGGTAGAGCGTCAAGTCAGTTTTAAAGGGCCCAGATTACGCTATTTTCAAATTTATAGTTTGTTGTTTCCTCATCACAAACAGACCTGGAGTTGTGTTTTTTTTCATTCACACACATTTAACACACACAACCTGCATATTTAGACTGAGTTCTTCTGTGTTTTTAAACTCCACACACCTTCTCTAGAATAATTTTGATCATTTCAGTCCTGGAATTGCCAGTCTCTAATGTGAACTTACAAACTGCTGCTTCATGACATCACAAGGTGGAACAAACAGAGCATTTTGAACTTTAGAGAGTTTAGACAGACTAATAATAAATGGTTACTCAAAGCTCTAGATGTAAATTTAGTGTAATATACCTTTAAGACTAGTATCAAAACCGGTGTCTGCGTACATTGGTGCATGAGTTTGTGTGTGAATAGGTGAGTGGTTCCTTGTTATAAAGCTCTTTGACGGCCTTGAAGGTGGAAAAGCGCTGTATAAAAATGTGACTATTTACCATTACTATGTGCAACTATCCATGGGAGTGGCCCACAGCATGCAGCGCTTTGTTGTGATGAAGTTTACAGCGATGCCAGCTCCCACTGGACACCACAGTTTTCTAACGTGGAGGTCAACGGATTAGTTTCTTTTATTCTGTCGTTTTAGATGAATATTGAGATGTAAAATGTCCAAAATATAACAACATGGTCCACAGGTGTCATAGATATAACGATATAGCGTGTTCTTTATATGTTCTTCTAAGGTGCATTGTCTAACTTTTCTGATCGAGGGAGGACCTGCCACCTGCTTTTCTCCGTGGAGATGTTATTGCTTTATCTGGAATATTTCTCAGTATGGCATTAAACCATTCCATCATCATAGTGACCAAACCAGACCAAGTTACAGGTCAGATAAGCTAGAGCTGAATATTCAAAGCAGAGCAATGACATTTCCATAGAAACAAGAAGGTGACGGACCCCCTGTAGAAAAGGTACATAGTGCACCTTTAATGTATGTAAAATAATATCAGAACAGAAACGGTTGGATTTATATTTTATTGTGTTTCTTCAGACCTTAGTTTTTGTCCCAGTGTGAGTGATTTTCCTGTTGTTTTGCTGGTGTGGTGCAGGGCGTGACACCCGCTGGAAGGACCTGGTTCTGTTCCTGTCTGTGATCCTGGCTCTGGTCGGGTGCTGGTTCGCCTACGCTCAAACCAGGAAGTCCAGAGACGACCTTAGTAAACTCACCAAAGACCTGGAGGGGCTTCAGAAGGCTGAGCAGAGCCTCCTAGACCTGCAGGACAAGTGAGTGACTACTACTACTACTACTACTGCTACTGCTGCTACTACTGCTACTACTACTGCTACTACTGCTACTACTGCTACTACTACTACTACTACTACTAGCTACTACTACGACAGCTACTACTACTACTACTACTACAACGACAGCTACGACAGCTACTACTACTACTACTACTACGACAGCTACTACTACTACTACTACTACTACTACTACTACGACAGCTACTACAGCTACTACTACTACTACTACTACTACTACTACTGCTACTGCTACTAGTACTACTGCGACAGCTACTACAGCTACTACTACTACTACTACTACTACTACTACTGCTACTACTGCTACTACTGCTACTACTACTAGCTACTACTACTACTACTACTGCTACTACTGCTGCTACTACTACTACTACTACTACGCTACTACTACTACTGCTACTACTAGCTACTACTACTACTACTGCTACTACTACTACTACTGCTACTGCTACTACTGCTCACTCTACTCTACCTGTCTGATCGTGCCGCAGCTGCTCACTAGGGTTTAATATTTTTTCCCGAAAATGACATGAATCATTTTCATGTCATTTTTCATGTACAAGACGACTCATTTGTTGGGAATCCTGGGAATTCTGGCAAATCCCAGGAAATAACTGCAGTTGTTTTTGTTCATTTTTTGGAGCCCAATTAGGTCTTATGTACTGTATTTTTCAGACTATAAGTCCCTCCAGAGTCACACCAGCCACAAAATGTGTAATGAAGAAGAAAAAACATATTAGTATAATATTAGTCACACCGGACTATAAGTCGCTCTTTTTGGGGGAAAATCATTTTGTCAAATCAGAGACCAGGAACCGAAGTCCAGGTTTTGTCGATCCATCCAGTGACTTCCAGGAAAGTTGCATGGCGTAACCTCTGGGTTGCGGTAAAGCTGTGTTCTCCATCCCCGCTTTTCGCCAGTTCCTCACAAGTTTCTCGCTCACTTCAGACTTTATTTCTGCTGTTCGATTACCATTTTAAATTTTCAGTGATACAGAAGTAATGGTGCGATAGACTGACATGATACCAGACAGGGCAGCGACTCTTTCTGCAGAAGGCATGCGCAGTAGAGCCGTGGGTAGACCACCAAGTGACAGTGGTACAGGAGCGCACATTTGTTTACGTTTTACAGAAACTAAACTTAAAACCACATGGCTAATTTGCATTTGCAATTATTACCATAGTTACAGTGGCACCATCGCCGCCATCAAAGTTACTGTAAAACAATAGACACGCACCACAGATTTTTTTATTAATTTTTTTTTATTAGACTATTTTCCCTGTTTCCCGTCATAACCTTTCCCGGGAATCGAGAAATTGTTGATCAGATTTCCCGGGAATCCAGCGTCCTGGGATTAAACAGTACTCCTCACCTCCTCTTTTTCACCTCTGGTGCTTCTCATTTTTATAATCCAAGTTACGGAAAGTAAACAATGTTTTCTCACCATTTATGATTGGAACTTAAGACCACATTTAGCGCACGTATATCGCACATGTTTCTGTTGATAGCAGTAACGCGGGTATGCACTTGGGCTATATATATATGTTGTACAAACCATTCCATATTTTAAATGTAAATTTCTCCAGAATTATTGGTCCTATCAACATGAAAAACTAGTGATCTTGACACCCTGCCCTTTATGCCTGAAATCCACATGTCTGTGCTTTTAATAAGAAGATCGAATCGAAAATTGAGATTGATCATATTGCCCAGCCCTAAATTAAACTACAGCAATCATTTCCTTCTACACATTTGCACATACATAAAGCCATAGCTCCTCTCTGCCCCCGTTAAGCCGGGGGGTCGTGTTCAGGTCTGATTTGGAGGTATGAGAGGAGACTGGGTGAGTCCTGGAGTCTTTGACCATATAAGGAACTGCCTGTGAGTGCAGCCTGAGCTCTCCTCTGTCTGCGCCCCTCACTGCACTTCACAATTATCACAATCAAAATCAAATCATAATAGCAGTTTGAACAGTTACAATTATCATATTTCAGATGATGGATTTAGTTAAAAGTGCATTGTGTAACTTTTCTGGTGGAGGGCCCCTCAAATGTTTTTCTCCATGGAGATGTTATTGCTTTGTCTGGAATGTTTCACAGTATGTTATTAAAGCTTTTTATCATCAGGGAAAACAAATCAGACCAAGTTACAGGTTACATCTGTGGAGAGGCAACCCCGTTCACAGTCAGAGTCTGTTTTTCTAGTTTTTTTTTTTGTTTTTTTTTAAGCTAAAAAAAAAAAAAAAAAAAGCAACTGCAAGTGAATAAATATAAGGTAGTTCTGTTTACTATCAAACTGTCGAACATTTCAGGCAGAGCAGTGACATCTCCATAGACTAGGATGACCAGATTTTCAAAATTTAAAATTGGCACACCTCTGGTTTTGGTTAGTTGGTAATAACAAAATTGTGAAATGAGTGCGTAATTAAGAAAAATTGTTCTGCACTTGGCCCATTCATGACTAACATGTGAGTCACTATAGTCAATTTTTTTTTGTATTTCGGTCATTTTTAAGCAGCCTTTCTGTATTTTACCTAAACAAATTACAATTTATGCCTCTCTTTACTGTTGGCAGGTATAAAATGGTCAAAAATAGGGACAATTCTTGTATAAAACTTGGACAAATCACTGGTTTTGGATAAATCTGCTGGGACTGGGGACACAGGGCTCAAAACTGGGGCTGCCCTGGATAAATAGGGACATCTGGTCACCCTACCACAGACTCAAACAGGTGACTGACCCCTAACCAAAAAGTTACACAATGCATCTTTAATACAATGTTCTCTGCAAACACAAAGACCCAGTTTACATGGTGGTGTATCGTGTGTTGATAATTTGCAGTGAGATCACGCTGGGGGTTTTCTACGTGTAGCTCTTATAGTGGAATGTTTAGGAGTTACCGTGGAGACACAATACACACATTAGCAAGCACTGACAAAAATGTTTTAATATTGTCTGAAAGCGCAAGACAAAACACAAAATTGGTTTAAACAGCACATTTTCAGGAGCCTGTGATCAATTTGAGCGTGTAAGTCAGCTCTCTACTCAGATTGTGTTAAAATAAAAATAAAGCACAGATTTAAGTCTAACAAAACCTCAGACAGAGCAGTGCCTACAGTTAGTGTCACACCCTCAGGAATTGTTAATGACATCAGCTGCAAAGTGTCAGTAAAGTAAAGCTAACTAGGCATGGACAGTTTCCATGAGACGAGACTCAAGACAAAATGTTGATATAATTATAAGTAAATGAATGTAATCTATGTATTTAAACAGGGAGTATTACACTTCTATGAGGTATTAACTGCTAACACAATTTAGATCACCATGTTACCTTTTATTGTTTTGAAAATGCTGTATTTCTTTTATGAGTTTCACATTCATTTTGCTCTGAGTCTCTGCTCCCTTCGCTCTCTGTGTTAAGTCACTCTCCCCTTCAGAGCGCTATCACGACACAATCAGGGTGGGACTGCAGCTTGTATCCAAAATTTCTGGATTTCTAAATGTGTTTTTCTTCTTGAATTGCTGTATTTTAAAAAGTCCTATATTACACAAAAGATTCCAAGTCATATTTTTATCATGTTACCTCATCACAAACAGACCTGGAGTTGTGTTTTGTTTCATTTACACATGTTTTAGTAACCGTTTATTATTAGTCTGTCTACATCTCCAAAACTCAAAATGCTCTCTTCCACCTTGTGATGTCATGAAATCATAGTTTTCAAGTTAATGTCTACCTTTAATTTTCAGTTCTGTAGAGATTGGGAATTCCACATCTGAAATTATTCAAATGATTGACAATAGTGAAGGTGTATGGGGGTTTTAAAACTTCCTGTATTACCACATGACATCACAAGGTGGAGCAGTGTTTTCTGTTTGAGAAGAACTATTTTAACATGTGTGAATGAAACAAAACACAACTCCAGGTCTGTTTGTGATGAGGAAACTACATTATAACATAGATCAGAATATAGCTTAATATGGGCCCTTTAAATGCGATAAAAAAAGAACATGAAAACTCAAGGGCCTAGACATTTTTCAAGCCCAGTGTAAAATGACTCCTCCTTTTTACATCTGACCCGTCTTCATCTGTATCACACTTTAATCCCATCACACGGCCTGTATTGTTCCTGTGTTGTTGTGGAACAGCTGTAAGCTCCTGCTCCAAAAATAGAAACACATTCCTGCGATAGGTTCAGGGCCGGTCCGAACTCTCAGATCATATTTCACAAAGACTCGCCGCACCGTTAAGAGGCGACGCATTCAGGGACCTCAGTGTGAGAGATACAGTAACACTAAAGACCAACTGCCCATAAACACCCGTGTAAGATGTGTACATGAGCTTATTATTTCTTATTAGTTATAAAGCAATAAATAAAGTTATAGTTAAAGATGCATTGTATAACTTTTCTGGTGGAGGACCCATCAAATGCTTTTTTCGTGGCAGTGTTATTGCTTTGTCTGGAATGTTTCACAGTATGGCCTTAAACCGTTCTGTCATCATGCAATCCAAACCAGACCAAGTTACAGGTCAAATCTGTGGAGAGACGACCCCGCTCACAGTCAGAATGCTTTTTTTTTTTGAGCTGTAAAATCACCTGTAATTGAATAATTGTAAGATAGAGCTGTTTAATATCACAATGTGGAGCATTCCAGGCAGAGCAATGACATATCCATAGAAACAATCAGGCGACAGACCCCGAACCAAAAAAGTTACATAGTGCGCCTTTTATGTTGGACCCCACATGATTAAATCTGCTTAAGATCATCAAGAAATATTTAGGAACAGCTAATGACAGTGAGCCCGTTTTTGGAGTTTCTTGGTCCTTAATTTAAACTGTAGACGACAATTTCTCTGGAAACTAAACACATAACTGTATTTTTCACACTATTAGGCACTCTGGATTATAAAACGCACTGTCATTCAATGGTCTATTTTAACCTTTTTCACAAATAAACCTCACCGGACTTTAAACGAAACACAACAGTTGGATGGGTCAGTGGGACTTTATTTGGCGCGTTCACGGTGACTCTGGGCTTTGTTCAGTTGTGGCGTGTAGGGAGGGTGCTGTCTGGGACCGCTGGATTGTTGGCATGTTCGCAGTGACTCAGTTGTTCAGTTGTGTCTAGAAGTGGCACATTGCACTTGTTTTTTCATTTCATTCCGCCGTTCCATTCCTCGTTGGCGTGGAGTGATGAGTGTGGCTGTGGGTGTTTTTCGCTGCGTGGTTGCTGTCTGCTCCGTGTGAGTTTGCATGCGCTGCGGGTGGTGTGGCTTTGTAGTTTACTAGATTCGTGTATTGGGTGCTCTGGATTACAGGGCGTGCTTTCGTTTTTTGATGGGGTTGGAGGCTTAAGAGCACGTCCTATGGTGCGGAAAATATGGTAAACATTGAAAACACTTACCTGGCACAAGTATTCTAAAAAATCTTGAAGAGATGAGGTACCCCAAAAAAGTAAAAACAAAATGCGAAATGTTTTTACCTGGTATTAAACTTGTCTATCTTGCTTTTCATTTTCAGCTGGTTCAAGGTAAGGCCTGGACTATTTCAGGCAAAGCAATAACATCAGAAACAAGCAGGTGGCAGATACTGTACAAGAAAAGTGACACTGTACATCTTTAATTTTATCATTCACAAAGTTCTAATTCATACTGACCACCAGGGGGTGATGCTCAAAGAATGCTCCCTTTGCAGATGCTATAAAAAAAAAACAAAAAAAAAACAAATTTCTTGATATCCCTTCATGGGTATGGACTTTCCAATTTGAACTCCTCAAATGTAGTGTGTGGTTCGGTGATGCCCGATGGTGCTGGTGTGGTTGGTGTAGTCTGACGGTCCTGGTGTGGTTCGTTTGCAGACTGCATAAGGCGCAGGAGGAGCAGCGCTGTGTTCAGGTGGAGAAGGTCCAGGTGGAGAAGCAGCTCAGGAGCGAGATTGAGTCGGCGAAACAGGAAGCCCAACGTCTGAGGGAACTGAGGGAGCAAACGGGCAACGAGACGAACCGCCAGAAATATGTGGAGGAGGAGCTACAGCAGGTAATGCTAACCACTCTGCCACAGTAACACTCCACTGAGAGAACAGGAGTCTGTATCGAGTTGTACTAGAGCTCACTCGTTGGTACTACAAAGAAAAAAATCCTGGCCAGAAAGAATTTTTCCCATAGAGCTCAATGTAATAAACACAAACTGCTCGAGTTCAGCTGACAGGGACTGACAGGGATAGGCAGGGAATGACAGGGATCCACAGTTTTCAAAAAGGTTGGATTTTGTGGCCATTTTACCTATTTTTATAACTTTTTCTTAGTTCAAAATCAGTTGTCTTAAAAACTGCTTTTTAATCATCTGCTAAAGTCTACAGACCACAGATGAAAATTAACCTGCATGGCCAACATTTAGATAAGGGGTCTCCAACTTTTTGCCTCTAGTGAGCTACCTTTACAAAATGAAAATGCCGGAGAGCAAATAACTGAAATTGAGTCGATATAAGAGGGCAAGCCTTAGATGGTGTACAGTTGGATAGCTATAAAACATAAAACTACTATCCATTTATTAGTGCACAAAGTTCAAGATAACACATTTACAATGGCAATTAATCCAATTTGGAGTTATTCAGTACAGTACATATAATTCATTAATCTCTTTGTGAGCTGCTTGTAAAGGGGTGGAGAGCTACTGGTAGCTCCCAAGTTCAGGGTTCCCACGGTCATGGAAATCCTGGAAAAGTCATGGAAATTGAAAATGTCATTTTCCAGGCCTGGTAAAGTCATGGAGTTATGTAAATTCAATGAAAGTTTTGGAAAAGTCATGGAATTTCAGTATCTCCTTCATGCAACTACATTGTTGTGTTAAATTCTCATTGGGCTATTAGGATTATTTGTGAACGTCTGCGCCTTTTGTTTAAAAGAGACGACAGTAAATGCACTGACAGTATTTTTTATTAGAGCCCGACCGATATATCGGCTGGCCGATATTATCGGCCAATATGGGCACCTGGAGACATATTGGCTATCGGCCGATATGCTTGCTGATATGGGCCGATATTTCACGTGGGCATGTTATATCTCGTTATAAAGCTTAGACTCTCTACATTATGTTCATTTAATCCAATTTATAGACAGATAAATGTCCTAATATGTGGCTCCGCATCAGTATTTATTTGCGTAATGTAATTTGTGTCCATACTGTCCCTGAACACACCACAGAGTCACGTCACTTCACTCAAGTGTGTTTGTTTACACCCGCAGCCGTGTGCAACACTGAGATTATTTTCTTTTTACGGACAATCGGCTTGAGTCTGGATTAAAAGGACTTTTATTAGTGCAGACTTGTGATGTAAGGAGGAGCCTGTGTGAGCGGTGAGTGTTGGAAATACATCGACTTTGAAGCTAGGTTAGGTTATCTGTTAGTAATTAGCTGCTGTAGCTCCCGCACATAAACAGACTGTTTTCTATTGCTCTATTGTAAAGTGACTACATTGGCCGTATATTTGTTACTGGACCTGCATTGATATGTAAATGAGCTGTGAATAGACGTGTGAATGATCCACATTTATGCATATAATTAATTACCGCGGTGCGCACGTTTTTACGGCTAAAGGCTAATAGCGGTAGTTTATTTTCTAGCTAGGAGTTATGGGTCGGTCGCGATCGAAGCGGCTCTTAGAGTCGGCTCTTTGAAGTGAACGACGGGAGCCTGCTTCTTATTGGGAGCCGTGTTTTCTCTTTTTCTCACTTTTTCTCTTCAAGCCGCATGTAGACCCATAGTTTGACAGCAGCAGCTGCTGAAAACGAAACTTTCAGAAATATGCGTGTGCATAGGATAAAAAAAAAGGTGCATATTTGGCTGCAGTTCAGCATAAAATGAATAAAGCAGGACTAATCTTGGGCTTGAGAGAGAGATAGAGACCGAGTCCCGACACTCAGTCCTGGTTCAGTTCTGGTTTAGTCCTGTTTTACACATGGTTTAAATCTGTTTTAGTCCTGGTTTAGTCCTTTTTCAGTCCTGGTTCAGTTTTGGTTTAGTCCTGCTTGCAACAAAACAATCAAGAGTCGCTTGGGAGCCGAAAGAGCCAGCTGCTTTAGTGAGCCGAGCCAAAAGAGCCGGTTCTCCAAAAAAAAAAAAAATTGAATACCCATCACTAGCAGTGACAGTAACAGTAGCTAGAATGTGATGCAAAAATGCCATTAGGCCAATCTACTGTATGTAAATATGATGTAAAGAGTCAGAATAACAATAAATGTTGCCTAAATAAATCCAATTTAGAATCCACTAGAGCCAAACCTAAGTTTTTTAAACAATTCAAGATTTACAGTGAATTTTTACATCACTAAATATATCGGCGATTATATCGGCTATCGGCAGCACCAACTCCCATTATATCAGTTTCATATCGGCCACAACAAAATCCATATCGGTCGGGCTCTATTTTTTATGTTAAAAAAACTATAATACCAAACCATAAGGTTAGTGGAAAGGGTTAACTTTTCATATTTAGCCCTAAAAGTCTTATCAGTTCTACACATGTAAGTGCCGTAAAGTCATGGAAAATTCCCTTTAGGTCATGAAAAAGTCATGGAAAAGTTTTTAAATTTCAGTGACAAAGAACTGGAACCCTGCAAGTTACAGGTTGGAGACACCTTATTTACATGATGTTGATTAATCTGCACTGTCCCATATTTAATAAACATAAAAAATAGTAAATAAACATAAAGGCTAATCTAGAAACATCCGCTCATTGATTCGAATGGGCAGCCATATTTAGGCCCCAGGGCTTGAGTCCTAAAACTTTACTCTTTACTGCACTGTCCTCTTACTGAGATAGTGCCTTAGTTTTAGTTTGTTCCTGTGTTGTTGCTGTACAGATGCGAACGGCGCTGAAGAAGGCAGAGCGAGAGCTGGAGTCACGCTGTGATTGGTCGCCTCCCGAGCCTCTTCAGAAATGGTTGCAGCTCACCCACGAGATCGAGGTCCAGTATTACAACATGAAGAAACAGAGCGCGGAGAGACAGCTGCTGCAGGCCAGAGAGGGGGTGAGGGACCAGACCGAGACTGGACCACGACCAGACCACGACCAGACCACAGCTAGACCATAATCAGACCAGGATTAAACCAGGACTAAATCAGGACTCTACAACCACCACTACAACCATCCAAGGACTAAACGAACGCTAAACCAAAATTACACCAGGATTTGATCAGAAATAGTATAGTCCTAGTTTAGACCCGGTTCAGACCTTGTTCAAATCTGGTTTAGACCTGGTTTAGACCTGGTGTAAAACCGGTTTAGACCTAGTTCAGACCTGGTACCCAACCTGATTCCAACCTTGTACAGACCTTGTACAGATCTTGTACAGACCTTGGACCTGGTTGAGACCTGGTTGAGACCTGGTTGAGACCTGGTTGAGACCTGGTTGAGACCTGGTTGAGACCTGGTGTTTTGTCTTGTTTCAGGCTGAAAGGATAAAGAAGAAGCGCAGTTCTCTGTTTGGGACATTCCATGTGGCTCACAGCTCTTCACTGGACGACGTCGACCACAAAATCCTCGCCGCAAAGTCAGTGACCTTCAGTTCAGACACTAGGGGGCAGTAATAATATAAATTAAACTAGATAAGATGTTTCTTTGACACCGGACTTAATAAAGGTCCTGTATTTCATAAAACTGACTCTTGTGAGCTTTAAGACATGTTCGAATCATGTTACCTCCTCAAAAGCAAACCTGGAGTAGTGTTTTGTTTCATTCACACATGTTTGAGTTTAGGATAATATTTTATGCTAATGAACTCAGGCATTATTTTAACATGTAAATATTACTTTTTCTTTGTAAATAATTCAAACTCTCCCCTCACAGACAGGCTCTTTCAGACGTGACCGCTGCTCTCCGGGAGAAGCTGCACCGTTGGCAGCAGATCGAGGTCCTGACTGGGTTCTGTCTGGTCCATAATCCGGGTCTGGGAGCTCTAGCTGCATCTCTGAACCTGGACCCAACCTTTCTGGGCCTGAAACCTCCGTCGCCCACACACCTGCTGCTGTCCGATGATCTCGATGATATGGATGAAGATATTCTGTCTCCAGGAACACTCAAATGTGAGTTGAGAAAATCTGAATTTGGGAATTTTGTGTTAAAGGTCCTACATTACTCTCTTTTTCTGATCTATGTTATAATGTTTCTTCATTACAAACAGACCTGGAGTTGTGTTTTGTTTCATTCACACATGTTTAACTCACAAACCCAGCATATTTAGGCCAGAGTCGGGCCCATTTATGGAAACCAGCACCTGTGCAGTATAACACCACTCCCGCCTACTAACCCATGGTTATATCAAAGTTAAATCTGCACCCGCTCTGACCTGTTAAGATTCCACCCGTTACCCGCCCATGCCCATAATAAATCACCGCTTGCCAGCTTAACTTTTATCCTGTCCGTCATGCCGATGCTCCTGAAACCATGAATGCTGCTGGGGAATATTGATGTGGTCGTTGTTAAGTCACGTAGTAGGCTATAGTTTAAATAATGTAGCCCCTGTAGGTCTACTGAACCATAGACCGTATAAATTAGTGGAAATAGCTAAAGCACTATCCGCCGTGTGCCAAATAGGAAGTTCGACTCCAATTCACTTACATTAGGATCTTGCCGCTCCTCTCTTTGTAACTGCAGCAGTGAGTCTCGTCATTTTGGTCTTTAAATGTTTGTATTAACCCGCTCTACATAATCCTGAATTTTTCGCTGTTCTGTCCGTCAAAAAAATCCTTTTCATAAAGTAGAGCCTGGCAGCAGATTCGCTTCTGTAACCGTTTGCATCACGACCCTCATATGAGCCTCTCTGAACGCTTTGGGTGACGTCACACTCACTTAGTCCACTTGTTTTATACAGTTTATGTACTGAGCACACTGTTATTATGACAATTTGTACATGATAGTCTAATACGTATATGTGTATTTGATTCACCTGACCCGCCTGTGTGTAATCCCGTCCGCATACCTGCTCGTAAAATTCCAGAACGTAAAAACAATCTCGTTTCAGCAACTATTTCCGGGTACTCGGGTACCTGCAGGACTCTGATTTAGGCTGAGTTCTTCTCTCAAACTCTCTGTTCTACCTTATGATGTCATGTGGTAATAAAGGAAGTCCTCTATTGTGTTTTCATGACATCACAAGGTGGAACAGAGCATTTTTCAGCTTTGGAAATGTAGACAGACTAATAATATAGGATTACTTAAACATGTGTGAATGAACTCCAGGTCTGTTTTTGAGGAGGTTATAACATGACTTAAAACTCACAAGAGTCAATTTTGGACAATATATGACCTTTAAACTGTAGTATTAAAATTACTTTTAACATTAAAAAGTCAAAATATACACAGATTTAAAAAAAAATGCTGTGGGCAGAGATGGGTGGCAGGTGAAAACATAGACATAGTTTTATTTTGCCTGTTCTTTGTGTGACTGATGCAGACGCGGCGTGGCAGATGGAACGAAGAGTCAGTGACCTTTGGCCTCTCGGGAACATACCAGACCAGTCGTCATGGAAACAGTCTGGTTAGTCACCTGCTCTATTTCATCTCTTTTTCTCAAACTGACTTTTAGTGCCCTCTGGTGGTTGTTTAACAGAACACAGCTTTGGCATTAGGGGTGTTCATACCCTGCCAAAAATGCTTTCATATAGTCTGAAGACTCAAGAAAAAATACTAAATAGATTTAAACATCCTCAGACAAGGAAGTACCTCCAGTCACTCCAGATACTCACCTTTATGTAGATAACCCTATGTCATGTCAATCATCATATCATTGTTGCACTTTCTTCCTATGACTTCTTGTATAAAGCTGAGATTTTATTACTTATTTTTCTATTTTATTTTGACTTGTACATATACATTTCTATAATTATGTCTCATTTCACTTCTGTATCTTGCTATCTTTTTTGCTACTTATTTACAAGGTTCCCACAGTCATGGAAATCCTGGAAAAGTCATAGAAATTGAAAATGTAGTTTTCCAGGCCTGGAAAAGTCATGGAATTCTGTAAATTCTATTAAAGTTTAGGAAAAGTCATGGAATTTTAGTATCTCTTTCACGCAACTACAGAGTTCTGGTCTCTGTTAATATTAGGCTATTATGATTATTTCCGAAGTCTGTGCCTTTTGTTTAAAACAGACTCCAATAAATGCACTGACAGTATTTTGAATGTTAAAAACTATAATACCAAACCATAAGCTGAGTGGAAAGGGTTAACATTTTATATTTAGCCCTAAAAGTCTGATCAATTCTACACATGTAGGTGTCATAAAGTCATGGAAAATTCACTTTACGTCATGAAAAAGTCATGGAAAGGTTTTGAAATTTTAGAAAAAGAGTGGGAACCCTATGTTTAGAATTTATTGTTGCCATTCATATTTTTACTCTTAGTTGTTATATTATATTGTGAACTACTGTGTCCAAATAATTTCTTTTGTGGATCAATAAAGTTTGTCTAAGTCTAAGTCTAAGTCTAAGTTGGCTTCACACCCCCAGGGAATGTTGATGACCTAAGATGTGTCAATTATCAATAAGCATCAATAAATACAGTGGCAGGTTACCTACAAAAGTGACACATAAATGAGCCTTTCCACTTTCAATTACAATTATAGATTTTGTGAAAAATAAATACCTGCAAATGGCTTGATCTACCTAGATTGTCTCTTCTAATCAAAATCTTGTCATCTGTGTTTCTGTTGCAGCTCAAAGCCTGATGCCCCTGCGACCCCGACCCGGAGACCCCTTCAGGTTGGTAGAGCAGAAGGGCCGTGGTCATGTGACACCAGCAAACTCCAAGTCCCGCCCACCCAGCGGCCGCCAGAATCGAAGCCGTTCGATTGGTCAACTGGACTTTATGCCTTTGCCCTCTTCTTCTTCTCTTTCTTCTTCTGTGTCACACCCGTCCATCGACTTCACTTCCTCTGCCTTCCTGCCTCCCTCTGACATCACTTCCTGTCCCGGCGAGGCTGGATTTTCTGCTCTGCTGTTGCGCTGTTACTCTTGCGTCCACCCCTCCAGGCCTCCAGGGGGCGCTGAGGCTGCTCTGAGACCCAGATCCGGCAGTATTGGGTATCGGCTTCCTCCGGCCACTGCTGCTCTGAACTAAAACATGCTAACAACATACTAAAGCCGTTCTAACATAGGGTGACCACACGGCCTTATTTACCCGGGACAGTCTCAGTTTTGACCTGTGTCTCCTGTCCCAGCAGATTATTTAAAACCAGTGTCCCAGTTTTTTACAAGAAATGTCCCAGGTGTCCCTATTTTTGACCAATTTGATCTAAACCAGGATTAAACTAAGACTAAACTAAACCATGTTTTAAACAGGACTCTCACAGTTTTTGACTACCGTATTTTTCGGACTATAAGTCGCTCTGGAGAATAAGCCACACCAGCCAAAACATGTGCAGTGAAGAAGAAAAAACATATAAGTTGCACTTTTTGGGGGAAATTTATTTTATAAAATCAGAGACCAGGAACCGACATTTCATCTTGAAAGGCAAGTTATAGTAAAAACAATAGAACAGAGAACAACAGGATGTTAAGTCACATATGAACAGTTCTTCAGATAAACTATAACATAAACAACAGAACAGAACAAGTTTACCAAACTCTCCATCTCACTCCAAATCACTAAATCCATTGAATTCTTCATCCTGTCACTTCTGATCAACTCTGTGACCTCCGGAGGTAAATGGAGCGCCGCTTCCTCTTCTGTGCCGCTGTCGTCAGACTCAGCATCAGTTCCAGTTAGAATTATTCCAGCCTTTCAGAATTTATGACAGGATGGTATCTGTTGTCACTTAATTCCAGGCTTTCTCCATCCATCCAGTGACTTCAGGAAAGTTGCATGGCGCATGCCACCAGTCCCTCACAAGTTTCTCGCTCACTCCAAACTTTCTTTCTGCTACTCGATTGCCGTTTTCGGCTGCATATTTCACTACTTGCAGCAGGACAGTGGCTTTTTCTGCAGGAGACAAGTGACAGTGGTACAGAAGTAACAGGAGCAGCAGATACTGGCACACAAGCCTACAGCCTCTCAAGGCTGTTAGTGTGAAAATGTTAATATATAAGTCTCACCGGAGTATAAGTTGCAGGACCACCCAAACCATGAAAAAAATTGCGACTTATAGTACGAAAAATACAATGATTTGATTCCCGCCAACAGAAATGAGGAGTATAAGTTGTGACTGGTTTAGCCAAAATACTGAAAATAGTGTTTGCTAATTACCATAAAACAACAAAAAAAATGCAGCAACAGAAGTCCCTCAGATTATGGCTGACACGAGAATTCACAATGTCACTCTCTCTTTTCCTAATTGTATTTATACCAACCATCCTAACCCCAGTGTATCCCCGTTTTGGATTTAGAATTTTTGGTCACCCTATTCTAACAGCTATGACCGCTTAAAGCAAATGTTAAAGATACATTCTGTAACTTTGGTGTTGGTTATGCTACCAGCTTGCCTCTATGGAAAAGTTATTGCATGCCTAGAATTTCACACTATAGCATTACTTTTCCAACTTCATTTATTTAATTACAGGTGTTTTTTCCCCTCAGAAATACTTCCAGACAGGTAACAGGTGACAGGCATTTTACATTTACAAGAGAGACATTTCATTATACAACTTGGAGCCGTGCGTTTTGGAGTTTGAACGCACTGTTCCTTGTTTAATGTGAATATATATCACATAAGTAGTTCTGGCAATTGTATCACTACGCTGCAAGCATCACCGTAGCAACGTGTAACAAGCGAACTACTGTTAAGAGGGACTAGCTTCAACTAAAAGATAGAAATAACTACTTTGAACACCCATAGACAGCCAAAAGGTCGTTTAGATTTAACATTTTTCACGAGACCATGGTGTAGGCGGTAGAGATGTAACAATACCCAAACCTCTCTTTAGGACGTTTTCTCGATATGCATCTCGATATTTATTGTGATATTCTGTGAAGGTTAGAAAAACAGTAAATAGTGAATATGCTACTTTTTCTTTTTTAAATGCCTTGATAAGACTTTGGTTTTATCAGTATCCAAATAGCTAAGATTCAAAAAATGGTTATGCTGCGTTTGTTTATCTGTCCGTCTCCCACTTGAATCTCGGACATAACGCCATGTCCACGCTTCAACCATTTTATTATTTTTCGTGTGTCCGACTCGGAGAAAAACATGGACTCTAAAAAGCTGTTGTTGTTGCTGGAAAGCTGTTGTTGCTTTAGCACTGGCCGAGTACCAGATGCTTCAAAATAAGCATGTGCACAACCTCGAGGAAGAATTCAGTGTAAATAGTATAATTCAGTATTTAGTATTAGTGAAGTAAAAGTGTTGGTGTCGTGTGATAGTGGATCATTTTTGTTTGTTGTTTGTTTTTTTTTTTTATTATTTCTGCACCATAACAACGAATTTAAGCAAAGAGACTTGTAATTCTATATTTTGTGTGTAAAATTCCTCAGTCATCAAGGTAGAATCCATGGCAATACGATTAAAGAAGAATTTTGGACACTGGGCCTCATTTCCTAGTGAACCAGAGTGCTGTAGATATGTGAAGACAGTTTTTGAAATATTCCATCCAGTCCTTGTATTTGCAGAGGTTGCTGTTGCTAGGCTAGTGCATGTCAATGGCCACTGTTAGCCTGCCACTAAAAACAGTCTTACCCACTCCACAAAACACCCTAAGCAAATCTATTATTACACCAGACTGTAAATGTCTGTCAGTAGAATAATTTTAGAAGTGAAACCAGTCTTGATTTTCTCAGATTTTCTTCAGGTACACTGTGGAGTGGGTAAGACTGTTTTTAGTGGCAGCCTAACTATGGCCATTGACATGCACTAGCCTAGCACCAGTGACCTCTGCAAATACAAGGACTGGATGGATTATTTCAAAAAGTGTCTTCACATATCTACAGTGCTCTCGCTCACTAGGAAATGAGGCCCTATGTCCAAAATTCCAAACTGTTTTGCAGCTCATCCAAGCTGCTTCTTCAGTTCTGGTCAAAATGCTGGTGGATACTTCCTTATATCTACCTGCAGGGGGGTAACACTGAAACACACCTACCTGTTTACAGTTTCTGTTGGTTAGTGAGGCCTATTGAACTGTACTGAATGTGGGGTCATATTAACATACTGTATTTTCCGGGCTATTAGGCGCTCTGGATTATAAAATGCACTGTCATTGAAAGGTCTATTTTCGAACTTTTTTCACAAATAAACCGCACCGGACTTTAAACGAAACACAACAGTTGGATGGGTCAGTGGGACTTTGTTTGGCGCGTTCACGGTGACTCTGGGCTTTGTTCAGTTGTGGCATGTAGGGAGGGTGCTGTCTGGGACTGCAGGATTGTTGGCGTGTTCGCAGTGACTCAGTTGTTCAGTTGTGGCTCAGAGTGGCACACTGGACTCGCTTTTTTGGGTCGTTCCTCTGTTCCGTTCCTCGTCCTTGTGGAGTGATGAGTGTTGCTGTGGGTGTTTTTTGCTGCGTGGTCGCTGTCTGCTCCGTGCGTGTTTGTGTGCACTGCGGTGGTGCGGCTTTGTAGCTTACTGAAGTCATGCTGGGATACGTTTTTTGATAGGGTTAAAGGCTTATGAGTGTGCCTAATAGCCCTCAGGGCCACGGTTGCTTCCACCCCTCTGGATCTGACCTGGCTATCCCTATTGTTATCTTGTTTGTTTTGATTTAGGTTTGAGGATGGAGCTGAGGATGGAGTTGTAAATATTATTTTCTGATGGCCCATGATATTATTGTGAAACTTTTAACGATAAGATCTTACCATATTTCCGTTATTGTTACATCCCCAATAAGCGGATTAAACAACTCTAAGCGACACCACGTTTTAGACTCCATGCACTGCTTCTCCTTCTTTAATTTTCACTTATGTAACAGCCAAGTCATGTCACAAATGGCATCTGCAAAAGAAAAAAACGAACTTTCCAAATCACTAAGAGTTTTGGCTCTCCTGAAATTAGCTTTAAGACTGGAAACCAAACCTGAGCAAGACCAATGACTCCCTGGACCAGAAAAGGATTTGCATTTTCCATTTGCATCACACTGACCCCTAATGACCCTGGGCTTAGACTACACATGATGCACCTCAAGGCGAAGCTGCAAAAATCCCAAATAATTAAAAGTTATGAGAGAAGCTCAGAGGAGGTCCAGATCTGTTCCACCGGGAGTCTGTTTTGACTAGACTCTGTAGACCTCCACAGGCTTTTATCTTTATGAACCTGGACCCAACATTTTATGTATTTGAGCAAAAGGTGTCTTGCCCAAGTACAAATATACAGGTACATCTAAAAACATTAAAATATCACGAAAAAGTTCAATATTTTTTAATTTTTTGAGATGTACCTGTACATCAAAATAAGTCTGCTGTATTTTTTCTGCATTTAATTATAAAGCATTTAATTTTCCAATAATCAGGAAGTGCTCTCTTAGCATGCTGATGACAAAACATTCTGGTCTCCGAAGTCTGAACCAGGACTAAACCAGGACTAAAGCAAGAACCAGACAAAAAACAGGCCTAAAATTGAATAACGTATAATAAACCAGATCTAAACTAGGACTAAAGCAAGCACCAGTTACATCCAGTTTTATCTATATTTTACTGTGACATAGATTTACTAAAATCTACATTTTTTCTAAATTGAAGGTGAAGATTATTATTTTTTACCTTTGAATCTTGCAAAGCATAATGGGAAATGTAGTTTTAATTTCATGCTGAGGATGAGCAGGTGAAAATTCCTTATAAACTCATTGCTGAATTATTAGGATGCTTGGAATTCTTAAGGGTAAATGACGAACAATTCTGGACCACTCCAAGTCTTTTAAAGTAAACAAATTCAGTTTTTAAGATGGTCAAAATCAGGTAGAACATCTTTTAATAAACTGTGAGATATAACGGGAACACAGGGTCTTGTTTGTGCAGCTTTCAAAAACCACAGCAGTCCTCCTCTGAACCAAACACAAACAGGACAGTAGACAGGGGGAAAAAGGGGTCTGTTGTCCTGGGCCCCAGGGATTTAGGGGCCCAGAATTGCACCCTCTTCCTATTAATTTAAATTAGAGGGGGGCCCAAATGAGGCGTCTTGCCCCGGCCCCCCCCAAATTTCTGTTGATGGGCCTGCATACCTCTGGACCTGACCTGGCTACCCCTGTTGTTCTCTTGTTTGTTTTGATTTAGGTTTGAGGATGGAGTTGTAAACAGGAGATAGATTGTGTCTGAGTCCTCCGTTTCTGCTTAGAGAAGGATTCTCTTTCTTAACAAAAATAGCTTATTTAACTCCCCTCTCAAACCATTTTTCTTTTCTCTGGCTAAGATCTGTACCTCACTGTCCTCAAAGGAGTGGCCCGCGGCGTTTAGGTGAAACTGAACAGCAGACTGAGGTCCACTACTGCGCTCTCGTCTGTGTTGGTACATCTTAATCTTAAGATTTAAGCAGACCTATTTTGCAAAATTGACATTTCATAGCTTTTAACCACGCTACAGTTGTTTCCTCTCACCATGTACTCACTTGAAGCTGTATTTGGAGTGATTTATGCATGTTTGAATTATATTTAATCACTTATTTTTCCATTTTGCCGATCAATTTCTGTTTTGACCACCACCAATACATGCCCACTACTCTGAACTTACTTCTTTTTACAATTTTATTTTCTTAATTGATGATACACATAGGATTCAGCAGTGTCATGTAGCCTTTTGAAATTAAAAATGAAAGAAAATCTGGTACTTGCAAGGAGGGGGCTGATTCTTTGTTGTGATGCTGTTTGGGGTGACGTCAGCTCCCACTGTGCACCACTGTTCTCTAACACAGAAGTCAGCAGGCGTGTTTCTTTTATTAAGTCGTTTTAGATCAATATTGTGATTTAAAATGTCCTAATTACAACATAGTGATCCATGAGTGTCATAGGTTATGATGATATAGCCGACACAAGCTCAAAAGGTTTTATTTAAATGAGAAACGCTTTGCTCCATGGAGATGTTATTGCGTTGTCTAGAATGTTTTCTTTCTATTTTCATGGAGACCAAACCAGACCCAGTTCAGGTCAGATCTGTGGAGAGGCGACCTCCCTCACAGGCCACTTTTACACAATGTGTTTTAATTCCAAATTAACTGTTCTGAATGAAATAGTCCTGAATTCTCCTTCGAGTTTACATGGAAAACATGTTAAATTACCTTTATTTAATTCCGCTCAACATCTGGGGGTCGGGAAGGGTTCTGATTGGACAGAGGCACGAACGTATTTACGTCGACCGGAAGAAAACACACACTTCAGCTGCTACCGGCTTTTTGTCATCTCGATTTGTTGTTACGCCACGGACACAAACGCAATCCAAACTTTTTTCACAGTCGTTCCAATGATAATTAAGCAGCAGATCGAGAATTCTCTCATCACGCTTTACGTCTGTTAGCTAAGAAGGAGAAGGAAGAGTGTCAGAGAAGGGAGGAAGAAGACAAACTGAGTCAATGGCTGCTCTACCTCAGCCCACTCCTGCATCCTGCTCAATAAATCTAAATCTAAAGAGCAGAGGATGAAAGTCTGAAACGAGGACTGGTGGCACCGGATTGTCCGGATTGTGTCAGAAGGGCAACCAAACGAGCATGCGCAGAACAGCCGGAATTATTTTTAAGAAGAATAAACGTTTACATGATCGAGAAATAAATGAATTTGGCTTTAAAATCAGAATAAACCACCCACTTACTTCAGAATTCATTTTAATTCTGATTTTTGTGTTTAATTCCGATCATTTTCATTAGGAATTGAGTGTTGACATTGTCTTTTTTAAAGCGGAATTCATTTTTATTCAGAATTAAATGTATTAATTGTAATTAAAGATTTCATGTAAACATAGCAATTGTCAGAATGCCTTTTTTTTAGGTATTTTTTAGGTATGCCTTTTAGGTATTTGTGAGCACATGTAATTGAATAAATGAAAATGTAAAAAGATAGAGCTGTAAAAGTCATACTGTGGAACATTCCAGTCAGAGCAATGACATCTCCATAGAAACAAGCATGTGACGGACTCCCAGTCAAAAAGTTACATGGTGCACCTTTGCTTTTCTTTGTATATTACAGAGACATCATAAACCGTTCGGACTCTGACCCCGCCGTCCTGCTCTCTCTCAGCGAATCACGAGGCTTGAACAGCTCTAGGCCCGCCCTCGCTCCCTCTGTCCGGCCGCTCCCTTTCCTGGGCAGTGGGACTTTGGAGAAGAGCACCAGTCTGGGAGAGCTCAGAGCCAACGCTGCCGTCCTGCCCTCCTCCACCTCGACGCGATCCCTCTTCGTCGGCTCGGAAACGGGGGCGGGGCTTCGGACAGGAAACAGGAAGTGCCCCGCGGAGGAGGACAACAACAGTAGCAGCAGCAGCGGAGCCACAGCAGACGAGCAAGAAGGAAACGCAACGACCAGGAGGAGCGCTTTAAACCGGCTGTTCAGGAGGAGACAGGGACGGAAACAGGACTGAACCAGGATTACACTGAGGACTAAACCAGTACTAAGCCAGGACTGAACCAGGATTACACAGAGGACTGAACCAGGACTAAGCCAGGACTGAACCAGGGACTAAGCCAGGACTAAGAAGTGGGCCAAACAAGGACTAAACCAGGTCTAAACACAGACAAAAATTAGACTAGAACAGGGCTATAACCAGGACTAAAACTGAACTAAACCGGGACTAAAACAGGCACAAGGCAAAAAATAGGCCTAAAACCGAATAACATATACTTAACCAGGACTAAACCAGGTCTAAAAACTGGGCCAAACAAGAAATAAACTAGGACTAAACACTGACTAAAATTAAGACTAAACTGGGACTAAACCGGGACTAAACCGGGACTAAAGCAAGTACCAGGCAAAAAATAGGCCTAAAACCGAATAACATGTACTTAACCAGGACTTAACCAGGTCTAAACTAGGACTTAACTAAGACTAAAAAAGGACTAAAGCAGGAACCAGGCAAAAAATAAAAAATAAAAAAAAGGTCTCAAATTGAATAACATGGACTGTACCAGGACTAAAGCGGAATTAAACCAAGTCTACACCAGGTCTAAACCAGGACTAAACAAAGTCTACTCCAGGACTAAACCAGGTCTAAACCAGGACTAATGCAAGCACCAGTTACATCCAATTGTATCTACATTTTCCTGTGACACACTTGTAGCATTTTTTTTCTAAATTGATGGTGAAGATTTTTATTTTTTTTTTTACTTTGAAGCTTGCAAAGCATAATGGGAAATGTAGTGCCCAAGAATCAAGCTTAAGTATTTTTTGTTACCATCTAATCTTTTTTTTTTTTTTTTAAATAAATGGCACCATGTATTTTTGAGACATTTTTGAGACGTTTGAACATTGTACAGCTGTTTTCACACTGTTTCTGTTTTGGTTTGTTCGCGTTGATTATGTGAAGAAGAGGCATTTTGGAAAGAAGTATGAATATTATGTGAAAAATAAATCACTATTTATTTGTATTTTGGGCTTTTTGTTGTGTTTTATTTTTTGATTAGATTAGATTTTGTTTTGTTTTATATTACATTATGTTTATGCAGTAATTTGTAGCCTCAACTGCCCACATTTTTACACACATAATTAGTCACTGTAATCTTTGGATATATATTTAAAGGTCCTATATTACATAAAATTGACTTTTGTGATGTTATAATGATACCTCTTCAAAAACATACCTGGTGTTGTGTTTTGTTTCATTCACACGTTTAAGAAATTCTTTATTATTGGTCAGTCTACGTCTCCATAGCTCAAAATGCGCCGTTCCACATTGTGATGTCATGTAGTGATAGTTTTCAGCTACTTTTTACCTTTAGTTCATTAGAGATCGGCAATTCCAGGTCTGAAATAATCCAAATGATTCTAGTGAAGGTGTGTGGCATTTAAAAACACAGTGGAGCACTTCCTGTATCACCACATGACATCACGAGGTGGGACAGAGTTTTCAGTTTTAGAGAAAACTGATTAAGCATGAAACAAAACACAAACCCAGGTCTGTTTGTGATGAAAAACCAACATTAAAACAGATCAGAGAATAGCGTAATATGGGCTCTTTAAGGTTGTAACGTGTATAAGTGCTGCCCTCTGTCGGATACAGAGAAATTAAACCCCTGCCCGTCCATAGATTAGGTTTTCTTTACTTTTTATTATTTATTATTTTCATCCCGGTGTCCTCAGAGAAGCCTTTTTATCCATACAGATCAAATTAATAGCTACATAGTTTACTTGAATTCATGATGTAATGAGGCGAGAACTAGTTTGGATACTGACTGGTACTGCACTGTTTTTTCAAACATGGATCAATAATATGACCTTAACTTACTTTGTGCTTTATCAATAGATCTGTGGTACACAGGTATTTTCATCTGTAGCTATTTTACCAAAGGCAGTTTCCAAGTAAAATTATGTAACGTGTAATATATAATTGTTAGAGGTACACTACTGGTCAAAAGTTTTAGAACACCGTTTTTCCACTTATTTACTAAAAATGATTCAGTTTATTGTCTGACTGCACTCTGAAATGAAAGCATAGAACAGATAAGCAATTTCAGTTGAAAAAGAAATCATGGTATCAATTAATAGACCAAAACGTATTCTAAAGTTTTGACTCTTCAAAGTAGCGTGGCGTTCTTTCTCAAATATTTTTTCAGAAAGTTCTTCCCAAGTCTTTTGCTGAAGTTTCCATAAATATGTGGCACTTGTAGGTTGTTTGACTTTCTCTCTTCTGTCCAGTTCATCCAAAACCAGCTCGATGGGGTTTAAATCTGGAGACTGTGCTGGACACTCCATGTTTTCAAGCTTTACCATCTTGTTCTTTTTTTCTGAGGTAGTTTTGGCAGAGCTTGGACTTGTGTCTTGGGTCATTATCTTGCTGTAGATTCAGATTCAGATACAGAAAACGTTATTGATCCCATAAGGCAATTCATTAGCAGCATCTCAGAGCAGTTCTCACTTCTCACACACCCAGTCCATTGCAGTCCACCAGTGGAACTCAAAATAAAGTACAAATTACAGTGCAAAACTTTCATAAAACTGTACCCTTAGAATTTAACAACTTAATAGCACAGGGCACAAAAGAATTAGAGAACCGATTGGTCTTTTGTAACAGAGCATAAAACCGACGCCCTGAAGGCATCAGGATAAAATCAGGAGCCAGAGGATGGAGGGGCTGAGCCAGGAGACCCTTGGCTTTGCTCAGCACCTGCTCCTCCCACAAAGAGTGCAGGACCCTCAGTTTGAACCCTGTGATTTTCGAGCAGGTTTTAACAATATTCTGAAGTTTGTTTTTATCCTTCACAGACAAGGATTCAAACCAGCAAATAAAAGAAAAAGTAAGAAGACTTTCGATAAAAGAACAATAAAAATTGTTAAGAATCATTTTGTTCACATTAAAAGAGTTCAGTTTCCTCAATAAAGGATGAACCTCTGACCCAGTAGGCCCATAGCAGAGGGTATTGCATGGCGCTGCAGAATACTGTAGTAGCCCTTTTGGTTCAGGTTTCTGCTCACTCTGTACAAGTCACAGACCCTGGATCCCGCAAAACAGCCCCAGACCATCACACTTCCTACTCCAGGTTTGACAGTAGATGTTAGACACTATGGAACCATCTTCTCGCCTACTCGTATGTTATGAATCTGTATGTTTCATATCTGTGCATTTGAGTCAATTAGAGCTCAGCAACTTTGGCTAAAATACAGCATCCCTAAACTGGCTCCACCTTATATATGCTATCTAAGATTAATTCATATCTGCATTTATTTCTTCCATTTGCCACCTTTTGTGCTGTTTCTGAGTTGAGTTAACAGCCTATTGTCTAAAACTATCGCTAACTTAAATCTAAACTCCGTGTCTTATGTTGGTCAGTCGGTTTCACTATGAACTTAAGACTGGACTTCACCTTCGCATCAGGTTGCTTATTATTATTTGCTTATTATTTATTTCATCGTTTTTGGAATTTGTCACTTAAGAGAGAGGAGATAAAACGGATAAAGCTTTTGAGTTTTTGTGTTAAGTTTTTCTATACTATCTTATGGTTGTGGTCGGAAGAGTAATGAAATCTATCTGTCTACATGCTGATGGGATGAGAAATAGTGAGGTAAGATTTGCAATATGTTTTACGTGATGTATTAGTTCTGCACCAGAGTTCAATGCTGTCTGTGAAAAAAGAACAAACTGAACCCTGGGGAGCTCCATTCAGCTATTCAGACGCACAGACCATGGAGACTGTTCCGACCAAAGTTTTAAAAAGCATAATTAATGTTACAGACTTTACTCTGATTTCACCACGTAACAATTCTAATCATAAAATCACGAAAATTAAATAAATAATATTGTTTCCGCCCGGTTTCGAACCGGGGACCTTTCGCGTGTTAGGCGAACGTGATAACCACTACACTACGGAAACCATGTACCAAAACACATGCACATACACATACACAAGCCTTTCAAAATAAAAGCCTTCGTGCGACGAATGACACAAAGGCATAGACTAGATTAAGGTGAAACAGGAGAGCCCGATGTTTCAGATAAAGCCGCAAGAAACGGGACCACCACTCCGCCACACCTCGGACATGGTATTTTTAATCGTGAAGGAAGTAGAATATTTTCTCACAGTTTCCGTAGTGTAGTGGTTATCACGTTCGCCTCACACGCGAAAGGTCCCCGGTTCGAAACCGGGCGGAAACATCTCCCATTTTCTTGTACTTGAAAAGTTTTACTGCATAAAGCGCAACGAAAGTGCCTAATTTCCGCTAGTGATACAACAGCCGCATCTATCCACAGCCGAAGATTGGCTTTTGTAGGGAATATTTGTGAAATAAAACTGAAAATATATTATGGATCAAATAAAAGCAGATTTATACCATTTACGTGACTTTAAACTTTAAGCAGGTCCAGGTTTATCTCATGATGCTCAGATCCACATCGCCCTGCAGCGTCCCATTTTCTGCTCAAAAAACAGCTCAAAGCAACGTGAATATTTCCGGGTTAAAAACAGAAAAACACGCCACACTCACCTTAACACACTATGAACACACTTAACTTCCCTAAACTCGACGCATGATTCATTGTCGTCACATTTAAGACAGATTAAAACACGTTAAAAGTTAATGTATAAATCATCTCAGTTCAGAGTTGGATTTGACGGTAAAACCAATTTAGTCTGTTAGAAACGGCTGCAACCTCGGGTGTGAGCCGACAGCGCCCCCCAGCGGAGTCTGTCTGCAGTGTCTCAAAACAGCTACACGTGATTGTGATGATTCCACGTCCAAGAACGAGAAATCCGTCATTCATATAAAGTTCAGACATACTTCAAGACAATGATCCCTCAGTAAAGCAGCGAAACTGTTAATTTAACATTAAATTAGATAGTAAAAATTAACCCTATGTTTTCAGCTGTAGTCAGTTATTCCTCGGAGATAACTCGGTCGTAAACTTCGGAATATGTTTTTTCCTAAATAAAAAACCTACACAAACAAAACTGCATTTAAAACCTCAATCCGCTTTTACTGTATGATTGTTCCTTTGATTCATATATGGATGAGCGTATTGATGAGTCACGCTGAAGTAACAAACTCAACTGTGTAGGAGACTCTCAGGTTTGTATATAGAAACCAAATTATTTTATATGAATCAGTCACAAAAAAGGAATTTAATGCTCATCTCAAAGAAACAGAACAGTTACTCCCTTCAACTGAAAAGAATTACACTTATGAAAACGATCCTTAATTTAAAATATGAATATATGATATTTAACGTAAACAAATTAATAAAACAATATTGATAATTCATATTGGGTTACAAATCAGAGGTGTGTTTTAAGAAGGCTTTCATGGACTACAAAGCCCAAAGGTATAATGGGAAATGCAGTGCTGTCAAACTGATTGAACCTGATACTTTTTGATGAAACGTGACGCCCTCATTAGCGTCCCTCCCTTCTCTTTCTCACATCTATCCACTTTTATATCAGCACAGATAGTAAAAATCAGACTGAAAGTGTCAGGTGTTGAACAATACTGATAATTTAATTGATCTTGATGAGCTAAAAGTCATTTTCAGCACCGAGCAAGCTGAAGTGTGAGCTCTGAATTATTTGCTCTCGTGAAGCGTGTGCCTGGAGGAAAATGGGAGATGCATTCACAAAGTTTTATGTCGTTTTATTCATTGCAACACTTCAAATGAACGTGTCAGAGGGACAGGTCTGTTCTTGGGTTCAGGCTGATTTTGCGAACAATCCAGGTGAGGGCATCTTAAACACACCTTATACTTATAATACATGTTTCATACATTTTAATAGAATGCATTTTTTGTTTCTGGAGTCCCTTCCATAAGCTAAGGTAACTTTTATGGAGACTTTCATAGAATTAAATGTACGAACTATTTAAATGCTTTGGTGCTTTTGCTGGCAAAATGATGCTCTGAGCAACAAGCATGTTTGAAGGATGTCTCCCTTTTTGGTGTTTGCTTTTGTTCAACAGTAAACAGTTTCTAACATTGTTACTGCAGCATCTCAGGTGCAATATGGGCGAGGATTTGTGATTATGCGTGCAACAGTGGCAGCTGAGGGTCCAAAATGAGGACAAAATGTAAAAAATGAGGACGCATAACAGAGGTCCGGACAGAAGGCTCTAAAACCGGACTGTTCAGCTGAAATCCGGACAAATGGTCACCCTAACTGACGCCAACGTCCTGTCCCCCTCCACCAGGACTAAACACAAGAACCTGGGAGGACAGGGCCTTCTCACCCTTTGGAACTCCCTCCCCAAACACATCAGAGACTCACCCACACTCCACATGTTTGAAAAAGCCCTGAAAACCCATCTCTTTAAAAGCACCTTTAATTAACTGTCTTTTTCTCTTGTTTGCCTTTGTGTGTCTCTTCATGTAAAGCTTCTTTGAGTATCTTAAAAAGTGCTATTCAAGTGCTATATATCATTATTACTATTATTATGTTTAAACAACAAACAACATCGTACAAAAGCACAGCTACAGTTTAAAAACACAATTTGGCTTCTCTGCAGCCAGATATTCATAAAAAAGATATGAATGATTAGCATTACAGGTCAAATATGGACTAAAATAAAAGGAACATTAGAAATCTGTCAAATAAAAAAGAACAGGGGAATAAAAGGATCCAGTAATTTAAAACATTATGACATTTGTCTTTCAACTGTTTATTTCTGCAGCGTTTTGGGTTAAAGAGGAAGTGAGTGACAGGAACTGAAAGCGTTGGACTCGAGACCCTGTGGTTTTCATGAGAAAAGCATAAATGCAATGGAGGAGAGTGATGTGTTACACAGGAGTGAAGAGTAAGGACTGCGCCACATCCAAACCAGGACCAGGTCTAAACTACATCTAGACCAGGACTAAACCAGGACTAGAGCAGGTCTAAAGCAGGTCAAGACCAGGACTTGTGTGAGCACTGACGGAGGCGGGGGTTCTCTGAATGCGACAAGTTTAAAGCTGCAAATCTGAAACTCACCACAAGAAAATGAACTACTACAGCCTGCTTCTACTGTCAGGTACTAAACCAGGACTAAACTGGGACTAAATAAGTACTATACCAGGACTAAACCAGGTCTAACCCAGACCTAACACAAGACTAAACCAGGACCAAATTAAAGATGAACAAGGACTAAATTAGGACTTAACTAGGAATGAACCAGGACTAACCAGGGCTGAACTCAGACTAAATCTGGACTAAAAAGACAGGACTAAACTGGGACCAAATTAGGGCTGAACCATGACTAAATTAGGAACAAATTAGGACTTAACCATGACTAAAGTAGGGCTAAACCTGGACTAAATAAGGACAAGGAGAGGACTAAATAAGGGTTAAACCAGGACTGACCCAGGACTAAATTATGACATAAACAGGACTAAACCAGGTCTAAACCAGGACTGAACCACTGCTAAACCAGGAATAAACCAGGTCTTTGGTTCCAGTGTGTGCAGGTGCATCTGTGGTGGTGGACTTGGGTGAGAACATCACTCTGAACTGCTCCTACTCAGTCTCTTACTACGGACGTCTGAACAGCTGCTGGTCCAGAGGAGTGCTGCCTAGTTATGGGATGTGTGGAGTAAAGACCATCATCTCCTCCAATAGAAGCGGTGTTATAAAGTCGGTCTCCCAGAGGTACGTCCTGGGAGAACATCTGGACAAAGGAGACGTGTCCTTGACAATCCTAAACGTGACGAGGGAGGACGCGGGGACATATGGCTGCAGAGTGGACATTCCCTGGATAAGTGATCAGAAACATCACTTTACTCTTAAGATACGACAAGGTAAATACAACCAGGTCTGTGGAACTGTTAGTCCTGGTTTAGACCTGGTTTAGGCCAAATTTAGCCCTGGTTCAGTTCTGGTTTAGAACTGATTTAGTCCTGGGTTAGACCTGGTTTAGATCTGGTTTAGTCCTGGTTTGGTCTTGGTTCAGTCCTGGTTTAGTTCTGGTTTAGTCCTGGTTTAGCCCTGGTTTAATCCTTATTTAGTTCTGCTTTAGTTCAGATTCAGTTCTGGTTTAGTCCTGATTTAGGCCAGGTTTATACCCGGTTTAGATCTGGTTTAGTCCTAGTTTAGTCCTGGTTTAGTCCTGGTTTGGTCCTGCTTTAATCCTTGTTGAGTTCTGCTTTAGTCCTTGTTCAGTCTTGGTTTAACCCTGGTCCAGTCCTGGTTTAGTCCTCGTTCAGTCTTGGTTTAAACTTGGTTTAGTGGTGGTTCGGTCCTGGTTTAGCCCTTGTGTAGTCCTGGTTCAGTCTTGGGTTAGTCCTGGTTTAGTCCTGGTTTAGACCTGGTTTAGACCTGGTTCAGTCCTGGCTTAAACCTGATGTCTTATTGCCTCTGTCTCTGCAGCAGATCGGACCTCGGCTTCTCCTCTGCACACGACCACCGCCTCAGGTAATACCGGCTACAAACTACAAACCCCAGAATGACCTGCATTGACCTCTGACCCCATGTGTCCCCAGATAATATAACCATCTCCCCTCACATGACCTCCTCAGACCATGTGACCTTCTCGGACCTTGTGACCCCCTCAGACCATGTGACCCGCGTGGAGCCGATCTGGACTTCCCCTGGACCCAGACTTGAAGTGAGCAGTTTTACTCTTATTTTGTCAGGACTAAACCAGGTCTAAATGAGGACTAAACCAGGTTATAAACCACACCACATGCTGTTCACAAGACTGTGGATTTAATAGATTTAATTTGACATTTTCTAGGAAGCAAAGACATCCACTGTGCTCCTGGTATCGCTGCTCCTCCCTCTGCTCTTCATCATCACAGCAACCATCCTCATCATCAGTGAGTCTGAGCCGGGACTGAACCAGGACTAAACCAAGACTGAACCAGAATTAAAACCAAGCCTAAAACAGGGCTAAAACAGACTCAAACCAGGACTGAACCAGGAGTAAACCAAGACTAAACCAGGACTAAACCAGGACTAAATTAGGACTAAACCAGGATTGAAACAGACCTAAAACAGACCTATACCAGGACTAAACCAGGACTGAATCAGGACCAAACTAGGACTAAACTAAGACTGAAACAGACTTAACTACAGCAGGACTAAACCAGAACTACACCAAGACCAAACCAGGACTAAACCAGGTCTACATAACTTTTAATGTGATGATTTTATTGTGTTTCAGCAGTGAGGAAATGGCGTCTCTTTCAGAAAATGTAAGTTCCTTTTTCTTTTTGCTGACATTCTTTTTTCTGACTCTGCTCTTTTATTTTTTTTAATAAATTTGACTTTTGGTGGTTTGGGGTCTTCTTCTCATGACTCAGATCTGAAGAACATTTTATCGCTCAGTTTGAGAGATGTTTGATAATTTCCACTGCTTCTGGTAAAAAGCTTTAATCAGTTGGAACACCCTGGTATCTCGTGGCAGAGTGGTTAGACCAGACTGCTTGTTTTAAATGTCGTGGTTTTTCGTCGGCCTTTGTGCTCTTGTGCAAACTGAAACCACAGACGCCTTGAGATCTGAACAGGTAGCCTGAGACCTTCACAGAGCACAGAGACTCAAAACCGTGTGAGACTTTACTGACAATACTGAGTCAGACGTAAACCGACCATCTTTCCTTAAAGCAGACCTGTTGTGCTTGTGTCTGCTATATAATTATAATCTATGACACCATTATGTTAAAATTTTGACATTTTAAATCACAATATTGATCTAAAACAATTAAAAAACAAAACAAAACAAAAAAACAGAAATAAAACAGTGGTGCCTAATGGGAGCTGATGTCATCGTAAATGAAGTCACACAAAAGCACCGCATGCTGTCAACTTCTCCTTTGGATAGCTGCAGATCACACTAGTATCAGACTTTTTTTCATTTGTACCAAAATAACTTCATAGTGCTGCCAAATCCTACGCGGATCACAAATTAAAAAAATAAAACTGGAAAATAAATTGGTGAAAATGTGGGGGTAGATTGGTGCTTCTATCTTCTATCTTAAATACAGGAGAGTAAAGATTACTCAAACATGCACAAATCACAAAAAATAGAAAGTACATGAGAAGAGAATAATTATAACAAGCTCTAAAAAGCCAATTTACAGACAAATACAGGGTTCCCACTCTTTTACACTGACAAAATTTCACTTTTTCATGACCTGAAGTGAATTTTCCATGACTTTACGGCACCTACATGTGTAGAATTGATCAGGCTTTTAGAGGTAAATATGAAATGTTAACCCTTTCCACTCACCTTATGGTTTGGTATTATAGTTTTTTAACATTCAAAATACTGTGCATTTATTGTCATCTCTTTTAAACAAAAGGCGTTTACGTTCGGTAATAATCATAATGGCCTAATGAGAACTTAACAGAATGCTGCATGAAAGAGAATCTAAAATGGGGTCTCCTCCAGCTCAGGGAGGTGTGAGAACCTGTAGTTATCGTACGGGCTGTGAACCAGCACTGCATACATCACTTCCTGTTCGTACAGCTCAGTTTTCCACATTCTCATGACAGGAGTCTGCCCATAACAAAACTGAAGATACAAGCATAGATGGTATATATAAATGGACATAGCTAATGCAATAGCCACCATGTTCCAAATAGGAACTGAGCACGAGCGTGAAGATGTTTACTGGACACACACAGATCTCTCACCTGATGACTGTACTTCTCCAGGATGTCCATCAGATTAAAGGTGAAACGATACGACCCATATCTGGAGCTGGACAAGAAGGCTGGAGACGAGGCGAAATTGCGGGAGGATCCCTTCCTCTTCTTCCTCATCCCAGTAACCCCCGCCCCACTCCCCATATGCTCCCATCAGTCTGAACTTCTCTTCGACCCCACCTGGATGCACTATCTTCATGTTCCTGGTCTCTGCCTCTCTTAGGTCTCCAGGAGTGACAGTCAGACTGAACCACACCACCTGTAATCCACCATAGTTGGGATTTCTGAGTCCTCTGAATCCCTTGAATCCCCTGATGCCCTGCAGACCATTTCTATCAGTGCTGTGGCTCACATGAGTCACATGGAGCTCTGGTCTGGGATAAGCTAGAATTTTATATCTATTATCTGGTGAAATCTTCTCCAGATATTGGTTGTAGGTGTCATCGTAGTAGTTTGTTAGTTCCTTTAATTTAGTCAGAGTCAGGTGTTGTCCTTCCTCTGTGTAAGTCGCCATCACAGCTGCACGTCTTGTCTCTGGGCTTCCGGGATAACAGTCAAAAAGTTTCAAAGCAAATCTGAAGCTACTCCTCTGAGCTGCCTCGCCACGGACAGAAGTCCCTCCCCCTTTAACAGAAGCCCCTCCCCTCTGACAGAGGTCCCTCCCTCTCTGACAGAAGCCCCTCCCCTCTGACAAAAGCCCCTCCCCTCTGACAAAAGCCCCTCCCCTCGTACTGTAGCCCGCTCAGACTCATATGAACAGAGCAGTGTGGAAGTAAAACAACTTGTGTAAGCAGTCGCCCTCAGTCTCTCTATAAAGGGTTATAGGTCAGAAATCTAGGGATAATACTGGTGTCAGACTTGAACTTTAAAAAAGTCCATATTACGCAATGTTCTGATCTTTGCTATAATGTAGTTTCCTCGTCAAAAACATTCCTGGTGTTGGGTTTAGTTACCTTCACACATGTTAAACATACAAACCCTGCACATTTAGGTTTAGTTCTTCTCTGAAACTGAAAACAGCCTGTTTCACCTTGTGATGTCATATACTAATACAGGACATGCTCCACTGTGTTTTTAAACTCCATACACCTTCTCTAGAATCATTTATATGATTTCAGCCCTGGACTTGGCTTTTTCTACTAAACTAAAGGTAAAAGGTAACAGAGCATTTTGAGATTTGGAGATGTAGATAGACTAATAATAAATGTTTGAATGAATGAAACAAATGAAATAAAAATGAACGAAACAAAACACAACTCCAAGTATATTTTTTGGTGAGGTAACAACATTATATGACTTTTCACCATCCAAAAAACATTGCAAAATCAAATATACTGTCTAAAGCAGATTTGGAGACCATGCGTTTGTCTGCAGCAGGTTAGACCAGTGTTTCCCACCCAGGGGTACGAGGGACACCTGGGGGTAATGGCTTCGGATTTAAAAGAAAAATAAAATCGAATAGTATTTGGATCTAAAATGTTCTTAGCAATACAATTTACATCTTTAATAATGTTTCTGAATTATTTTTACATAATTATAGTTAAAATAAGAAAGTATAAAAAACTTATAATTGGCTATATCATTAAAAGCCTCAAAACTCCGGTACATGATACAGGAAGAACTGAAAAGTGTGAGACAACGCTTTACAATAGGCCTGTCACAATAACAAATTCTTAAGCATACTAGAAATTTAATAATAAACGACCATTTTGAAAGTACTGATACAAAAGCAATACAGCAGGATTATCTCAGTAAACCATTTTAAATAGACAGTAAGATTAAAAGGTCTGAGCTGCAACAAATAGCTCTCAGCTCTCTACAGCTCAAATCTTAGCATAAAATAACAAAAATCTCCCCATTATTGCAAAGAAATTGTACATATGATAAATATTGAGCCCCAAATATATTGTTTCTTTTATATCCTGAACAATAGTAAATGGGTTTGGGAAAAGGCCATTAGAATATCAACTTATTATTCAATACATGAAATCTGGACCAATATATTTTGGTGCTCATTATTTATCATGTGCATGTTTTCTGTTGCAATAGTGGGGAAGTTTCTGCTATTTTTTAAATGTAATATGGTAAGATTTGAGCAGTAGAGGGTTGAAAAGTGACTTCCAAGACTAATTATTGGTTCTTTCTGTTATGTATTTGTTGTAGGTAATGGCTTTTAAAGGTCCTATATCAAGCAAAATTTACTCGTGTAAGCTTTAAGACATGTTAGAATGTTGCCACCTCCAGATGGTTCTGTTCAAGGTGTATGGAGTTTAAAGTCTGGGTGGGTTTCCTCTTGGCACTCCGGTTTCCCCATCAACCCAACCCAAAAAACCTGCAACATAAGTCTCTAGGAAGAATAGCTGATAGCTAATACAACAACATCAATTAAATACAACAAAGACACAGTGGAGGTTCCTGTATTACCACATGACATCATAAAGCTTCTTGATTCTCAATTTTTCAGCTGTCAATCAAATGCGGCATATTAAGTGGTGTACCAAAGCTCAAAGGAGACAAGAAAAGAAACCACAGAGGAAACTTGAGTGAGGGTTCAAGAGGCAGACAGCAGATACAATAATACAACTGTATTAGTCTTGTTATAGAAATCTGTACTCTAGAGCAGGGGTTTTCAAATTGGGTGAATGTGAGCCTCCCCTTAGAGGAGGTAAAGACGGCCCCTTCCCCAAAATCCCATCCCCTCCCATCCCATCAGTTGGCCTATCCAAATCAACAGAACATGCTTAACATTTATAATCTGTGTCAAAACTACAGCTGACGACACCTGATGATTGAAATTGAAATCGGCACATGTCTGGGTCTTATATTAAGCACATGGGCTCGAACTTGTTCGACTTTGCTATACGCAGCGCTACACGATAGGATGCTGCAATTGCCTTGATGTTACTAGAGCCAAACGATTGCATAATGCTTTTCTGTTACTGTAAATCATCCCACTTCCTCTCATAAAACTCAACTGGCTTGTTCTCTAAATTCGTGTGCTCTGTCTCAGTGTGATGTGCCTGGTCTCAAGCTGTCTTTCGCAAGCATCTCTTTGCAGACGGTGCATTTTACAGCTAATACATGCACGCACAATTACCGATATCAATACTGCTGCAGATGTGGACCGTTATCCTATAGGACACTCTGGCCTTGTGCCTCCATAAAGTCTATTGCTCAATGCTAACTTGTTATTCTACTGACACTCTTGAGTCTTGACTTGTGATGACCCAACCTTGTGCTGACCTATCCTTGAAGGAGAGTTATGTCATATGTGTTTGCCTCATTCTGTGCCTCATGTGAACCTGTGGGGTATAAATACTCTGTATGCATTGTTAAGTTACAGACGAGTACAGACTGTCAGGGACAGGCTCTGTGATTGTGTGCACACAATTGCTTTAATAAAGCAGACTTTTTGATTCAAGACAACTTTTCAGTTCTTTTATTGTTTGTAGTCTAGAAATTCCACAAGTCTCAATGTAAGGAATTTGTATTGTTGCAACAGCACAAATACAGGGACAGCAGTAAAGGATGTATGACATGTTAAATAATCCTTAATTTGACAGTAAAACAAATTTAAAAACATGTTCAAACACTTTTATCTAAAACAAAAGATGTTGATTTGACTTTGATTTAAAACTCCTGGAATTGTAATATTCGAAAAATAATCCTAAATAATAGTCCACACTACAGGGTCGTTTTTGGTCTCTCTCTGCTCCTGTCTCCTCCCCGTGTCTCCTCTGTGGGTGGAACTGCCTCACCCATTTCCTGCAGAGTCAAGGAGAGGAATCAAAGAAAAGAAAACGAGGAAAGAGATATGAGATGTGCCCAAGAACTCAGCCTAAATATGTGTGTTAAACATGTGTCACTGAAACAAAACTCAACTCCAGGTATATCTGTGACTGGCATGGAATGCATTTTATAGCCCCAGCATGTAACTCACAGGGATTATGTCTGTTTTAGCGCATATAATGTATTCAGTATCATTTAATTGGTCTCATGTTATAAGCCATTCTAAAGCTTGTGTCTCGCCAGTAAGGCAACACCATTTAAAGCTGGAAACCAAGGCAGTGGCTGTACTTTATAGGATTATTGGCACAAACTGCAGCGGGCCAATGCCCACCTTACCATGCTACTTGTAGACTTTGAGTTACTACTTAAGACCAACCACATCTTAAGATTACTTGAGTAATAATTTCAGTACAAGTAAAAGTATGCTGCTACAATTCCTTTAAAAAGTTACTCAAGTAAATGTAACACGTACCTCTGAATGTGTGTTGGCTGCACAAAACATCACATTATCAACACTGAAACAAACTAAATATATTGCAACATTCTCCATCTGATAGTAATTTGCTTTTTTTTTTTTTTTTTTTAAATAAATGTCAAAAATTGCAGATTTGATTCATAATTTACAGAGTCAAAAATTGTCCTTGATTTGGCACAAGCAGCACGAATTATCATTTTAAGTTTAATCAATAATTAAATAAATCTGTTTTACAGAAAACAAAAACAGCAAGTGCCACCGAGCTACATGACTGAACGAGACAACTTTAAACCAAGATCTAAACCAGGTCTGAACCAGGACTAAAGAAAATTCTTATGTCACCGAGAAGAACTGAACCATTTGCTACTAGATCCACACCATAGACTGGTCTTAAAACTTTTAACAAGGACCAATTTGGGACTAGACCTGGTAAATCTATAATCAGTCCTGGTTATATCTGGCTCAGGGCTACTTCATTATGACAAAATAATAATTCGGCTCACAACTGAAACCACAATTACACATTTTATTATTTAGTCACATTTCAGTCCTGGTCTAGTCCGATTTCAATCCAGGTCTAGTTTATTCTATGTCCACGTCGATATCCACCGGTATAAATTTCTGAACAAATATGACATCATCACTGCACTCGTCTGGCGCCTCGATCTCCCTCTTCTCCTCTTCCTCTTTGCAGATCTCTCCTTCCGCTGCCTCGAATGGTAACTCAAACACGCGGTTCATGTAGTCCCCTCTCCTCGCGCTTTTACGCACCATGGCTAGCACCTGTGCCGCCACCGACCACGCAAACTCCACTCTGCGATGTGTCTGTGAACTCAAATCAAAGTTATAGTCCAAGATTTCGTATAGAGCTGGCACATAGCGGTTACACTTGGTTTTGACAAAGTGGTGCACCTCGAAAAGCGCTCCCCTCGTCAACAGCTTCAGGTCCAGCTTTTGTTTCGTCGCAGATTTGCAGCTCAAGTTCAAATCCAGACCGATTTCTTTGCATATTCCATACGTGCATTTTTTTGCTGTTTGCATCGGTAAAGGAGATGCTTCTTCCAAATTTGAATGTTTATCTATTACTGCACCATAATTCTTTAAATTCACAACTTCAATCAGCCAGTGGTTTGTTTTAATCAAACAAAATGGCTTCTTGATAATGAATTTGTTCCCATTTAACCATCTACTGAGGCCTTTCGCTTCCTCAGATGCCGAATTTTGTAACTTCATGTCAAAGTTATGTTCCAAAACATCGTGCATTAGATCTTGGGGTTTGCTGCAAAGACGTCGGGAGAAACTGAAAATTTCCAGCAACGCTCCGTTAGTCAGAGTGTTCAGGTGCAGCATTCTCCCGGGCAAACGGCCTTTTCTCGACCAAAGATTTAGTCCAATTTTCTTACAATATGGAAACTCCTCGGACAAATCCTCATCTGGGGAATTATCTGACATTTTTTCATTTTGGAATTCCGCAGTCACTTCCTCGGAAATGTAAATCTCTGGAAATTGAATGGGCATGCTCATAAATGGTTCGATGTGCACTTGGTTTAAAATACACTTCTCTCTGCTGAAAAGATATGACTGGAAGCTGTCTTGAAACTGGAAGTTAAAGTTACTTTCAATGATGTTTAACAGGAAGTGGACCAAACCACGCGATAAGTGTGAGCAGAACTTGTGGACTTCGTAGAGCGTGTGGTTGGTCAGCAGCTGCTTGTCTAGATGTTTTGCACGCCCAGATGCTACGTTAAAATCCAATCCAATTTCTCTACTGCGACAAAACATTAAATTGCTCTCAGTTCCTTTACGAAGTATTTCTATGATCCTGTTTGATCGTATAGTCCACTCTTTTTGCTTCACTGACTTCTGAGACATCGGCAAAGTATCATCACAGAATAAATCGAGAATCGGCAACTCCGGGACAATTTTACGTGGACGTTTGTTGCGAACGCTGTAGTGGTAAGTTGGATCTTCTTTCTCTAATATTTCGGATTCTGGGAAAACTGTCTCTACATCTACTACCGTGTCTTCGATTTTTATGTCTTCTGAATCAACATTTGTCTCTAAATCTGCGTCAAAATCTACTGGGCACATGTAGGACGACTCTCCCTCTGCTGGTTTTTCATCCCACAAGAAATCACTGCTCAAATGCGTCACAGTGGACCTTCGTTTTTCAGGAACAACCTCGATTTCGCTGTCCAAGTCGATTGTTCTCTTCATGGTATGTTTTCTCAGCATGAACTGAAAGGTTTCCTCAAAAAATGCCTCGCGATTGACAAGTGGCGTGGCTAGTTTTTTGTCGTAAACAGTCCTCACCTGCAAGCTCAAGTAGCACGGCTCAAAAACTTCTCCAAAATTGTGCAAAATCAGTTCCTTGAGCATTTGAAGGTAACGCCCACCCAGGGACTCCACAAAATCCAGCATTTCCAGAATCATTCCCAGGGTTAGGAGCTTCGTGCTGAGTTTTTGCTCTGGTGTGTTCGAGGGCCGTAGAACAAATGTAATTCCAAGCTTTTTACACAGAGGGTAGTTGCTCATGCTTAGCTTATAGATGTACCCAGGGCCCTTTTTCATGAAAATTGGATCACCTTTTCGGTCATCATAAAACTGCATATTTTGTGTATTTTCAGATGGTAAGTCTCTGTTTTCTGGTGTAACTTTCGGTAGAACAAAAACCTCTTGCAATTTTTCATAGAGTTTCAGACGACCGCGGAGTTGGCTGTAAAAAAATTTGGCCGTAGAATAAACTTTATTAGCAAAGTTGCCACATTCTGGACTGTCTGGACTCAACCTGATATCAAAATGAAACTGCAAAATATCAAACAAATGGTAACAGGGTGACTTGTTGACAGATTTGACAAAGCTGTGCATGTCCAAGATGGCGCCATTGTTTACGAGGTCCACTGGGATTTTCTGGGCTCGTTCGAAGGCAGGGTTGAACTCTATTCCGATGGCGGTCGCATATGGAAACACAGATGAAACCTGTCTGTTTTTCAGTACTCTCCAAATGCGCCGTTGCCAAATGTAGTTACTGTCAATGAAGTCTTCATCTGTGTCATCGCTCATGGTGAAAGTTTGACAAAAAACAGCTTTATAATAAATATTCAAAAGTCCAAAGTTATTCCCATTTTATGTCAGGACAAATTACTGATTTTTTCTGAAGTTGAGGGATGAGTTTCCAGGATCCAGCCTCAGATTTTATTCAAAATGAAGTCATCATAATTCTGAAAAATGAAAATAAAAGGTTGTTACTATGAATACATGTTTGCCAGTTTCCGTAAAGCAAACCCATTATCGACTTTGGAGCTTTTAACCACGTTATAGTTGTTTCACTTCACATTTACTGTCTGAAGCTATATTTAGAGTGACTCATGCATGTTAGAGTCATCTTTATACTCTTGTATTCAAAGCATCACTGCTCAGATCTACCACTTTATATCACACTTCCTTAATCAGTGATATACTTAGGAACTGGCATCGTGTCGTAGTCATTTTTATACAAATGGAAAAGTTCTGCTGTTCGTTAGTATGATGTGCACAATCAGAAAGCATCCTGCTAATGAAACTACAACACATCGCATCAGGTTTGTCAAGTTGTGGTGTACAGTTTTGTATCATGCTTTTGTGTATTTAAAGAGAATTGTCGTTTGTCGCTTGTGGGCACAGATAACCACAAGGCGGGTTCGAGTAGATTAGACTGAGGGCTGTAACGGAAAACTGACTTTTTGGATCGTTCTACCATGTTATAATGTTGGTCCCAAACATTCAAAAACACCTGAACAAGTTTTAGATGCCAGTCATGATCTTTCTCGAGCCCTAATTGAACAAAACAATGCAATAAACAAGACACTACTAGTTTCCTCAGGTTTGTTTTAGTTTCATTAACAGGATGCATGAATATACCATTGTTAAAATCTGATGGATTCAACATTTATATTAATCTCACTGTGTATGTAATGGTAATGTAATATTCACTTTTGTTACTTAATCATATTATAATCAATGTATCAATATGTGCACTTAAACAATTCTGTTTCTGAGTATTGCAGATTTCATGAGTTTGCAGAAGGTCACGAAGTCCTATCAAATTCAATAACAGGAAACATCTTGGGCGACCATTGCTTAAGGAGGATAAAACTAAGGAGGATGAAATGAGGAAGGGCAGACTGACCTTAACTCTGGCCTGAATACTGTATTGAAGTGTTATTTTTGTGTTTCCTGTAAGCAAAAGAAGAACTACTCCTTTAATGTTTAATGTTTGCATGTTCCCCCTCCCGTTCTGACAGGAGTAGTTCCCATTGTAACTAGGGGTCCTAATATTGAATAAAAGGCGTGGAGAAACGAGAGAAGGCTTTAGAGGGTATTGGGCGAACAACAACTAGTTTCATGTAACTAGAGTTCTTCTCTCGGTACTCCCTCCACGCGTGTAAAAGATATTAATCTCTTGTCTTCTCTCTTGTTAAATATTGAGTATAGGTAAAGGTGAACCTATCAAAATCTAAATATGTTATGTGCTTTTTGATTATTGTTGTATTTTACTGCTCACTGTGGTTAAACTGCCCCTTGGGGACAAATAAAGTGATACTGACTGACTGATTGAGTTACTTACCTTTACGTTTTGCTCCTAGTTGAGGTTTAACTCCTCTGTGACTCCTCTTTATGCGTGGCATTTCTGTCACTGGAGGGAAAAAAAAAAGGTTATTAAAATCCTATATTTCAGTTGATTTGCTCACATAAAAACAATCAATCCAATATTTTAATTAAAAATAAAATATTACATGTGTTAATTAAATAAATGAATAATACGTTCAGTGTTAAATCCAATAACTTTATTTCATTTAGATCTTATGAAATAATATTCATTTACTGTCAGGTCAACTAATTGTGAACAGATTGTGAGTAAAAACTTTATGTTTTCGTCCTGATTGGATTAAAAATATATATAAATAACCATATTTAGACACTAATCAATACTAAAACCAGTGTTGAAAGTTGAAAAAACACCAATATAGGCTGCACAATTCTCCAGGAGCATTCACATCTGAAGAAATTGAAATCTGAATTTTAAAATGATCTAAGAATCCCATGCATTTTAGAAGATGTTTGTAGAGATCCAAACTAAAGGGTTAACATCTTTTACTCAGAATAAGACCCCATGGAGACACAGGGAAGGAATCTGACACACATCTTCATTTGTAGTATAATTATATCACTCTCAAAAGAGTCTGGCTGTGTTGTGTTGCTGCCACTTTCAGCCCGCAGATGGTAGTGCTGTGATAGTTTTTGCATTATTTTATTATTTTTAATTAACAGAGCGAGACACAATTAAATAAACGCAATGAGAATGTAGACTATGAAAAATTAGTGCAGATCTGAAGTGTCGGACAGTCTTAAATATTACAAAATAAAGCACTTTTTTCAGAGGTTTGAGGTTTGTTATGGTTAAACAAAATGGCGGCTACATCTACAAATAAAACATTCATTACTTTTCATCCAAATATATGCGCGTGTGGTGGAAATATGCAGTAAAAATAAGGACTTTGGACCAATTTAGACCTGAATTTAACTCGTTATTTGAGCTATGACACCAGGAAGGAATGCAATTAATGAGACCAAACCAGGCTACACGTGTACCCCGCGCGTAAAACAACGTCATGCGGGATATTTTAAAGATATTTTAGACATGTCTCGGAGTTTGTGGATGAAAATTACTTACTCAGAGATTCAGAAGTTGCAGGAGACGAGTTTGTGCCACACTGTTAGGTTTGTGCCCGGGTCTGTGCAGGCTACAGCAGCACGCATGCGCAGAACAAAGAGCACGCCGCTTCAGGGCGCACGGGAATAACGAACAGTGGGGCAATTAGAAAGGTAAAAGCATGTAAGGTATGTAATTAATTTATAATGATGATTATATATATATATATATATATATATATATATATATATATATATATATATATATATATATATATATATATATATATATATATATATATATGCCTTTCTGTGCTTTGAACTATATATACTATTAAAAAAAGTAACAAGGCGCCACATCAGAGGTGGTAGAGCAGCCAAAAGTTTTACGTATTTGGGAAACTATTAATCAAGTAAGAATAACCTAAAGAGTAACAGTCGGAACATCTGATTTACAATTTGAAGATAATGTAATTGGAAGGACAAATCATTCAATAAATAATTAACTAAACTAAGTCATTTCTGAAGGAGCAGTGCAAGAAACACAAATGTTCAAATTTTCAACATAAAGCGATTGTCACTTACAGACTTACAGTGGGAAGAGTAATCGAACTTTTACTCAAGTAAGAGTACAAACGTGGACATTTAAATTATGTAAATTTGCTTTCATTCATGACTTCAGTTTAATTTCACAAATATTCTCTACAAAGCTGATCTTTGACTCTGGGAAGATGCGAGCGGCTGTCACTATTGGTGTGTCGAGGCGCTAATGCGGGGAAATTGAAAGCCGCGATTAATTAGAAGCAATAAAGTTGTTTCCGCCCGGTTTCGAACCGGGGACCTTTCGCGTGTGAGGCGAACGTGATAACCACTACACTACGGAAACTGTGAAAGCTCAGTTACCGTATATTTTATTTTTGATAACACTATAAAACACCTTACCTGTATGTTTGTGACGTAATGCAACGATTTCCTGAGAGTTTCCAGCAACTCCGGTTGAAACATCAGGTCTTCATCTTCACCTTTGTTTCATTCAGTTAAAACACACACAAACCATGTCACAATCGCTCAGACATTCACACTTTAATTTGAAACCAACATTTTATTTTGAAAGGCTTTACAGAAAGTGTATCGTTTCCGTAGTGTAGTGGTTATCACGTTCGCCTAACACGCGAAAGGTCCCCGGTTCGAAACCGGGCGGAAACATCTATATTTCTTTTTCTCATTACAACAAAACTCTGCAGTTGAACGGAATTCTGTGATGTTCTCTGAAACCCACCGCTGATGCACTTTGTAAACAACTTCAGGAGAATTAACATTTGAGAGAGGACTGAAAAAAGAACTGATGAACTAATAAAAGAATCCTGTGAATTTAAGAAGACTGAAGAGGTCTAAGCTTCAGGTACAAGATTTATCTTTTGTACTATACACTGGTTATGATTACATAAACACCAAAACTCTGTTCATGGTCTCATTTATGGAGAATTATTCAAATGTCATGTGAACAGTTACATCTGATTACTGTGTCAAATCTACCTCATGTTACAAAGGAAATCAATATTGCTGCATTTTCATGGATGGAACTGTCAATATAAGTCCAAAGGTACAACTAGAGATAATCGTTCATCCATGAGTCATTACAACAGCCGCTGTAAAGTTAAATTTCCACCTGGCCTCTAAGACAAAACAAAGTAAAGCTTGTGTCCACGAGAGTGCGCCACACTCCAGAGTTTGTTTGAGCATAGGACACAGAGCTGTTATTTGTGTGCAGGGGTGCGTTGAGTAGACTTAAACTATACTCAAGTAAGAGTAACATTACTTGAAAATAACATTACTCAAGTAGAAGTACAGAGCAGTGGTCTAAGAAATGACTCAAATAAGAGTAAAAAAGTATTTGAGAAAAGTACCGTTTAAGTAAGAGTAGGCCTAACCTAAAGAGCAACTATCTAGATGTAACAACTGATTTATAATTTGAAGTAAATGTAATTGGAAGAACACAACATTAAAAAATGCACAAAATGTGGTATTTTCAAAGGATGAGACAAACTAAATAATTTCTGATGGAGAGATACAAGAAACACAAAATAATGTTCAAATATTGTCAAGATAAAGCTTTTGTCACTTGTAGACTTACAGTGGGGAGAGTGAAATAACTGAGATAACTCCTTAAAGTAAGCAAAATAATACTGCTAAAAGTACAATTTCTTTAAAAAGTTACTCAGATAAATGTAACTGAGTATCACCTCTGAATGTAAGACAGAGGCACGGCAGGCACACGTCACTATAAAGCCATGAAAGTACAGAAATAACAAAAATATAGGTCCACGTAATAATTATAAAAATAGAAAAACCCTCTCACCTTATAGAGCATGACAGATTTTCATGTTTTTTTCAATTTCTGACTTGATTTGATGGGATAGTACCTGTGGTCAATATTTATCAAAGTTTTACATCAGTTAAGTGGAAAAAATGAATATGATTTCTACCTTTTGTTGTCTGAGCTGTCCTCAAATACATGTTAAGTTGATTAGCACAATTATTTCTCTTATCACTCTGCGTTGATATGTATGTAACTTGTATTTCTGTATAAATATTCTGGGGCAGAGACTCTGGGAGATACTCGGAGGAGATCCTCAGGGGGATGCTCTGGGAGGAGAGGCTGTTGGTCCATATCTGCTGTAACAACAAGAATAAACCTTGGTCTGTATTCCAAAAACTCACCGAGCTTCGCAAATGGATTAATTATTTATCGTCAAGAGATCTATATAATTTTTCCCACAACAACATTGAGAAAAAAACAAAAATTCATGAAGTAGTGCTGAGTTCAAAAGCAGAATCAACATTGAAAACTCCAAAATGCAGAGAAGATTTACGCACAAGGAAGCCATTCATTTAACAAAATAAAAGGGTTGTCATTTATTTAAAATTTTGTATTATTACTGTTATTATGTTTTTAAGGACAACAGAATATAACATTTAACAAATTACAATAATCAACATAAAACAAAACACAAAAACATAAAGCAACACCCACAACAAATACAAAAACAAAAAAACAAAAAAAGCGCCCCACCCCATTTCCCCCCGACCACACACACCGACACAAATTTGGTTAAATAAAACAAAAATAATGTGGTAGTGCAACATAAACACACCAGTGGGCCCCCCTACAATGATATATTTTGATCAATTTATAATACTTAAACTAATATTATTTTCACCATCACTTCCTTTCATCATATTTTACTATTTATTACTAACTCAAAACATAATTTTAAAGGCATTTCTTTTTGTTCTCCCATTTTTAAATACACATTTTTAGTCTCTATACTTTAACTAATAACTAAACTAATTGTCATTTACTTTTTGTTAGTGTAATCATTAGGGGTGTAACGATATCCAAGTCTCACAATATGATATCGTCACTGTATGAACCTCACGGTATGATATTTATTGCGATATCGTGGGAAAGCTCATGACATGATGGGGAGGGATGTAACAATATCCAAATCTCTCGGTACGATATTTTAATGATTTCACTCTTAATACGCTACTTTTTCCTCTTAAAATGCCTGGACAAGACTTAATCCAAAGAACTACGACTTAAAAGTGTTTAGAACTGTAGAAAAGACTTGTAATTCGATATATTGTGATGATCCATGATATCATTGTGAGAACTTTGACGATACCATATCACGATATTTCGGTTATTGTTACACCCCTAGTAATCATAACTATTGCATAATTTTAAATCACAATATTAATCTAAATTGAAACTAGTCAGCTTCTGTGTTAGAAAACTGTGGTGCCCAGTGGGAGCTGACGTCACCGTAAACGTGATCACAACAAAGTGGCGCTGTTAGCTCCTCTGGATTGCTGCACATCATACGAGTGATTTTTTTATTTTTTATTTTTTCATTTCTACCTAAACACACTGCTGAACCCTACGTGTATCATCGATTAAGAAAATAAATTCACTCAAACATGCATGAATCACTCAGTATAACAAGCTCTGAAAGATTCATTTAACAAAACAAGTTGACATTAATGTTATGGTTTTAGGTAACAGTTACGCAATTATCTCTACGTACAATCAAAAAGTACAATTATGAACTTCAACAAAACTTTCAAAATAGAAAATAGTAGGTAAGATTCGTAGTGAAATCTTAAATCTAATGATGTTTGTGTTTTAATGATGTGAGTCTAACCTGTCATATTCACTGTAAACTGAGCGTGTTGTGTGTTACAGTGGTTCCGGAGGGTCCCCCGGGCGCAGCGCTGTCCTCCCCCAGAGAGGGCGCTCCGAGTGGGACACCTGAGGCCCAGTACCCCACCTCCACTTCCACCTCCCCCTCTTTATCTGCTCTGTTCCATTCTCTCTCTCACTCTCTCCTTCTCTCTCTCTCTTGCTTTCATCTCTTTATCTACTCTCTCTGCCTCTCTCCCCCTGTCCTCTTCTCTTCCATTGTCTCTCTCTATGCTTCTCTCTATGCCTCCACCTCTCTCTCTCTCTATAAATCTATTCTTCTCTCTCTGTCTCTCTGTCTCTCTCTCTCTCTCCTCTCCCTCTCTCCCCTGCTCTCCTCTCCTCCACTCTCTCTCTCCCTCTCTCTATGCTTCTCTGTCTCTCTGGCTCTCTCACATCTTTCTACCTCTCCTTCTCTCTATGCATCTCTCGCTCTTCTCTTTCCCTCTCTTTCTCGCTTTCATCTCTTTATCCACTCTCCCCCCTGCCCTCTTCTCTTCCTCTCTTTCTATCTCTCCTTCTTTCTATGTCTGCCCCTCTCTCTCTATGCTTCTCTCTCACCTCTTTCTAACTCTGATTCTCTCTATGTATCGCTCTCTCTATTTTTCCTCTCCCTCTCTCCCTTTCCCCCTTCTCCTCCTCTCTCTCTCTTTGCTTCTCTCTCACCTCTTTCTATCTCTCCTTCTTTCTATGCCCCCCTCTCTCTCTTTATGCATCTCTCTCTCCTCTCTCTGTCTCCCCTGCCCTCCTCCCCTCCTCTCTCTCTCTATGCTTCTCTCTCACCTCTTTCTACTGCTCTCTCTCTATGCATCTGTCTCTCCTCTCTCTCCCCCTCTCATCTCTTTATTCACTCTTTCCCTCTCTCTTCCACTCTCTCTATCAC